AAAAAAAAAAATTCGCGAAAATCGACTTTTCGATACATGGAATCGATGCGTCTCGTCGCGCCCTTTACGAATCCGTTTGTATTTTTGCGCTACGATAAATCGATAATCGTTCAACTGCGATAATCGAAAGCGACATCTCTACCATACATCGCATCGTCACCTCATCACACTATACTATACACACAAAAACACAACACGTCCATCTCAAAGGTCAACGTCCCGGCCGCTTGCGGCCGGGGCGGCGCTAGTGAAAGAAAATCTGTTGGTTTCGAGAGTTGAATATGTCGACTGAAGAATATCGACTTGTTCACCAAAAAATCGTTCTCTTCGATTAATCGATAAAGTTCGTACTTTGTGGTGTCTGCACGCGACATGCCGGCCTTAACCTCTAATCCACTCCAAGAAATTTGAAAGAAATTATCAAACAACGATGGAAGACATAGAAAATGATTTGGAAAGCGATCATGAGGTGTCGAAGGAACATTCCAAGCTGTTGGAGGAGATCTCGAAGCTTGATAAGGGCCGGAGGTGAGTAGAGCTTCAAGAAATTCCCCACAGAAAAATTATCTGTGATCTTCTTGAAAAATTAACACTTTCTTCGCAATTCTTATTTTGAATTACAGACTGAAAAAACCAGTTCGAAGTGAACCGAGTCTGCAGGTGTCAGAGTTCCACCTTGTAAACTCCGGAGTGTCAAACAAGGAGTCAGTCCCCCTGAAGGAGCTGCTCCACACCCTAGAGAACAATCCAACCCATCGTCCTCTGACTCAGAAGCTGAAGTCTCTGAAAACGACAAAAGCCCTGGCAAAGCCCCTGGAGAAACCACAGGCAGATAAATTGAAGCGAGAGGTCGGCTTCGAGAACACGAAGAAGGAGATCCAGAAGTGGGATGCTATTATCACAAGGAATAGAGCGGCTCCGAAGCTGTCATTCCCTCTTAGCCAGGGAAAGGTGTCACTAAAGGGTACCACAACAGATGAATTTGTGAAGCGGTTTCGAGTCCAGTCGGACCTGGAGAAGGAGTTGGCAGCTCTGGAGCCTCCAAAACAGGAAGAGGAGTCGAAGACTGACGAATTTTCTCTGACTCTGGGGGAGATCCTGGAGAAGAGGCGAGAAGCAGCGAGATTCAGGGCTCAACAGTCATACAGAGAAGCCAAGGCCCACCGCCAGAACAAAATCAAAAGTAAGAAGTTCCACAGAATTGCCAGGAAGGCGAAGATCAAGCAACAGATCAAGGAGTTCGAGGTGCTCCAGAAAACGGATCCTGTTGCTGCGATGGAGAAACTCGAGCAGCTGGACAGAACCAGAGCCGAGGAGAGGATGTCCCTGAGACACAAGAGCACAGGTCAGTGGGCCAGGAACAAACAGGTTCGAGCCAAATACGACACAGAGAGTAGAAAAGTACTTGCACAGCAGTTGAGCATCAGCAAGGAACTCACGCAGAAGGTCAAGAAGGTAGAGGACAGTGAGGAGGAGGACGAGGGAGTCGTGGTCGATGGCGGGGACAACCCCTGGACTAATCCGGTGAAGTCTGAGGAGGAGATCCAGGAGTTCGTCAAGGGGTACAGGAAGTACTGGGAAGAGAGGAATAAAACACTTGATCAGAAGAAAGAAAGAAATCGCGATGAGACTGTGGCAATTATTCCTGTGGACGTCCCCGAGGATCTGAATCCTGTGGAAAGTGTCCTCGAGGAAGTGGTGGAGAAGAATCCCGGGATCATGAATGGAGACTTGAAAAACATTGGGAAGAAAAAAAAGACAGATGTCGAAAAAAGTGGAAATCCTGGAAATAAAAAACCTCGGACTCCGGGGAAAATCGAGTGGGAAGGAGATGACGAGGGGAATTTCGAGGTTGAAGAAGTGATTTTAAAGGGGAAAGTCGTGAAAGTGAAAAAATTACAGAAAAAATTCACATCTGATTGGACTATTGAGAGTTTTCCAAGGAGTGAAATTAAAAATAATGATTTTCCAGTGGATATTGATGAGTTGTTTGATAGAATGGAAGGGAAGATCAAGAAGAAGGCGAAGAACAAGATGAGAAAGGTCCAGCAGAAGCTCAGGAAGCTCGAGCGGCTGGCGAGTGATGAGCAGCAGATGAAGGAATCTAAGGCACTGCAGTCAGATCTCTCGTTCAAGAGGACGAAATTTCGGCCGGATATCGATGAAGCCATGGACGAGACTCTAGGGGATGAGGCAACGACAGAGGATAACAGAAATCCAATTGTTGAGGCGAGTCACGTGCGACGAGAGAGTGAAATCGATCCCACAAAATTCATATCTGTGAAACCGAAGCATCTGAAGACTCAGCTGCCTGATGAAATCGGAGAGGGGGCGATGGATGACAGCGATGAGGATGAAGATCAGCGAAATATTATCAGCGAGGCTTTTGCTGAGGACGATGTTGTCGAGGAGTTCAGGAAGGACAAGGAGAATGAGATAAAAAAATCACAGCCTGAGGACCTGGACCTGCGTCTCCCCGGATGGGGCTCCTGGGGAGGGAAAAATATATCTCAAAATTCACGGAAGAAACGGAGATTTATCATGAAATTCCCGAAGGACGTGCCACGCAAGGACGAGAATAAGGGAGACGTAATCATCGTCGAAGGGGCAAACACTCAGATAAAACGGCATTTGGTTGGTGAATTGCCTTATCCATTTACGAGTGTAGCTGAGTATGAGGCCAGCATTCGGGCGCCAATCGGTCGAGACTTTGTCCCTGAAAATGCCCATAAACGTCTGATAGAACCAGAGGTTTCCACGAAGATGGGAACCATTATTGAACCCATGGACGAGGAGGTGTTGGTGAAGAAGAGTAAGATTACTGGACTGTTGCCGGATAAACAGAAGATCGATAAGAAGAGTGATAAGAGGAAAGCTGGGATTAAGAGGAAGAAAATTGAGTGAAATTACACCCCCTGGGGAGAGAAACGGTGTACATAATCAAATTAATTGTTCAAAGTGTCGAAAAATAATTGCTTTGATGTGGAGAGTTGGATTTATGATTTTTTGATTGAAAATTGTTCTCCCTTTAATAAAATTTCTCAATAATATTTCGTAGATGATCGAATTTATTCACCTCAATTTTTACCTACATGTTAGCTAGACATATTTAAATAATGTCCATTACTCCCCTATATTTTGTCATTGCAATGATGACGAAATGATAAACTACTGCGCGGGCGCTCCCTCTCCCTCAAAAAAATGTTTGCGGCGTGCGCCCGAGAGAGAGACCGAACACTTGTTTCTCAAATTCTTGTTCAGTTGACTTCGAGAAACAGTCGGCAGTACTTGACAGATAAAAAAAAAAACAAAACAAAAGTAATATTGAGTTACCCAGTGCATTAATAAGTCGAGGTAATAAATAAAGTGATAGAATATCGAGTCGCGTTAATGATGGCGTCGAGTAAGGATGACAATTCTGAGAGCGTGCAATTTTTCGAGGGCGTTGAAAAACTCCTCGAGATTTGGTTCACCAGCACCGATGGACAGGACAGGAAGCGAGATCTCCGTGACATCCCCAGGTAATTATCGTATGTCATTTACCTCGTGAATATCATCTTCGGGAGCAGACCGACCGGTCTTTTTTTTTTATCGTCCAACCCCTTTAATTCGTTATGACGCAATACAAACCTGTGGCCAGGGCCGAGAGAAACTCCTGGGGCGTATTTTTTCAGTCAACAAAATTGTAAACTATTGTTTTTGTTTATGGAAAGTGGACTCTCGGATTTATAACCTAGACCGAGTGGAGGGGACAGTGAAGAGATTGTTTTTTTTTCTTATTCATTGGTTTCAGAACAATTATTAATTGTCACTGAAATTTGGGAATTGTTTTTTAACCATTAATAAAGCATATTAATGAGGAAGTATTTATTTTTATGCGAAAATGTCAGGGGACATTTTTTGTTGGGAATTCAATCACCTGGAAAAAACTTCTCCGGGGGTTTTATCTTGAACTCAGAGGTTTCTAGATAAATCTACGATTAGAATAAATATCAGGTTTTTTTAATTGTCAATGCGGTAGTCAATTGATGATTAAATGGAGTGCTTTTTCTCTTTGTAATGAGCGCTGGTTGAGCTCAATTGATCAATTTATTCTGGAGTTATGAATATTCACGTTAATTGTCATCGTCAATTGTTTTATAACATTTTTTCAACTGACCCCCTAGGAGATAAGGAATAATAACTCATAGGGATTTCATAGTTTAATAATCGAGAAATGAATGACAAAATTTTCTGACGTATCCGGCGTGTTTGAACTCGACACTCATATCGTAATCGATAATTGCACGAGTGTATCACACATAAAGTAACGAGTTGGTACGATATTACACACACGTGTGCACATGATTCTGACAGCATCTCCTATTCTAACGATCAATTGACGATATCTTGATGTCTCTTTTATTATTTCGTTACAGGCACAAGTGGGAGTCTCTTCTCAAGATTGTACGCTGTGAGATTATCAGCTTCTGCAGAAATGATCAGGTCGATGCCTATGTTCTGAGGTAATTAGTTATCAATTAATTATTTTCAGAAATCGCCTGTCTTAATTACCATTTTTGGCAATTACATCGAATTTACCGAGGGAACAAGTGGAAAAACTTCCCAGAAAAAAGTCAGATAAACTTTTTATCGGGAATAACATACTCTACAAAAAATTTCGAGGGATATTTCCTCCTAAACCTTATCATTTTCGAGAGAGAAAGAGACTAGCGGAATTTTTTCATTCGAAAAAATCGTTCACCTGTCGGGGAAATAAAAACTTTAATTGATTAGTCTTATGAACCCATAATTCCCCTATTATTAACCAAACAGTACTCTATTTTTTCTCGACGGTGACGTCACGTAAAAATCAATCAAACCAATGATGACCTTGCGAGTGGCTAATTGAACCGTTAGTGAGAGTACACCCAATGTATTAATTAAACAAGAAAAAAGACGCTGAAATATTTCCGAGGGATTATCGCATTTCTCGAAACACCATCCAAAGTTCACCGGGTGTTTTTTCTCCCTGTTATCTTCCTGGAGATAAAATTCCACTTATTCATCAATTTTTCACGTGGTCGTTACATTTTTTATCTGACTTCTTACCAGGAAGTGAATTCTTACTGGAAATTCCACTTTAAAATGAAAAACAAGATTGTACCATGAGAAAATATTAAATGAACCGAACACAAAAACGTAAGACAGACTTTTAGGAAATTATTCGTCTGAGCTAGTGCAATTGTCATCGCCAGAATAAACGATTTCCATTGATGATTTGCGCCCACAATGCAATCACGTGATAATCTTCGACCTTCTCGATCATTGCAACACGTTTTCTATGTTCCCCGTCTTATTTTGGAATACCCCCAGGTATAAATGTCTTTTATACACTTGTAAACAATTTTGGCACATACTCAAGGGTCAGCCGACATTTTCCCGACGCTTTCTACGTAGCAATAAAAATTCAATTTATTTAAATTCAATACGAGCTAATTAACTGATGACTGACATTTCGAGGAATATCTTTAGTTATTATTTTATTAAAACTCGAACCTCACAAATTCTGAGGTAACGAAAAATCTCAAAGAATTCCTATCAGAATATTATTATTGCCATTATTATTTATTGTCAATGTGGACTTTTATTTTTCTTCAAGAGAAGTGCCTAAATAATTAGTGATTGATTTCGTCCTGGATATTGTCTGTCACGTGTACATTTTTCCTGAGGAACTCGTGTACATTCACGTGTCGTCTCTTATCTTATTCTCGAAGACAGTTAAGACCATCTCAGGTCAATGTCCCGTGCTATCTAGACCCGATAACCTAGCTATTTTTGCACTCAGACACAATGAGGTGAATCACCAATCCGAATCATCTGATTGATGTGCGACGAGAGGAGAAATGTATTCGAAAAAAAATAATAATTCCCAGGAATTTTCCGACATGATCCCATAAATTTGTTTAGCTTCTCTTTTCCTGAGGAAAAAATGATTTCTGATTTCTAGTGAGAGCAGTATGTTCGTGGCAAAACGTCGACTGATCCTCAAAACATGTGGCACAACAACACCCCTGCAGTGCCTGGAGACACTTCTGGACCTAGTGGAGGAGTACACAGGCTTCGACGAAGTAGAAGTGAGTAGTTTTGTCGATAATTCCATGATCCCCTCAAGGTCGTGATCCTCTGACCTTCACAGAAATATAATGAAGAAGCTGAAAGAAAAAGGGGAGCCGTGGATAAATTTTCACGGCTCTATTCAGGCTGACAAGTGCCAAGCTATATAACTTGACCTAGTCCATGGAGGAGATACGTTGCTCTATATATAAGTTGAACCTGTGGTACGTCCATATCCTCCTGGTTTATTGATCAGCAACTACCTCGCACACCTCCCCTCACCCTCGACATCCCAAGATTTTGATATCTACGTTCTCACATTCGTCGGTGACACACATTTTTTTTATGGTTCACCGGAGATGAAAAATAATCAGTCAATTGAAATTAAAACCCATTGCATAAATATTACACTCAGTAATAATTTATTATTACTTATTATTAATTAGTGGAATTATTTCGTTGTTTTCAGGATCTGTTCTATTCAAGAAAGAATTATAAGAGACCGGAGCTGCAGAATTCACCGCATCGGGCCTTCGAGGATGAGGTCGCACTGCTGGACACAATTTTTCAGGGTAATTACGAATCCAAGTACTTTTCTCATTCACTCGCCATTAATATTGAATTTATTTGGCTCATTAATATCAATTATGCATCTGTCATCGTACAGGGAACGAAATGAACGAAATGATATCCGAGAGTATCACAAATGCGATTTTATTGCAATAATAACATTTCCCGACCCCTGCCCTTAATTTCATTTAATTGCAGACGGCGAAGCCTATTGTCTGGGTGATGTAGACAATGACTGCTGGTACCTGTACGTTCTGAATCGAGAGCACAGTGCATCAAGCCCCCCAGAGCCAGACCAGACACTGGAAGTGCTGATGACAAATCTTGATCCCTCGATAATGTCCATTTTCACGAGAGACGTGTGCTCCTCAGCATCAGAGGCCACTAAAAAATCGGGAATCGATAAACTCATTCCGACAATGAGAATCGATGATTTTCTGTTCGAGCCATGTGGCTACTCGATGAATGGTGTCTCAAAATCCGGCAACTACATGACAATCCACATAACCCCAGAGCCAGAATTCTCGTACGTATCGTTCGAGTCGAACATCCCCGAGGCATCCTACACAGAAGTGATAAATCGTGTCCTCAACACTTTTAAGCCAGACAAATTTGTGGTAACAATATTTGCTAATAAGGAATCAATAGCTGCTAACAGCCCACGTGAACTAGAGGAGACAGATTACTTGAATGTACATGGGGAATGGCTGAGAAATGATGTGCAGTACTGCAGGTTCAAGAATTACGACCTAACATGCGCATTTTATTCAAAATTCCCAAGCTGATGGTTCACTGATGGCCCGTCTGTGCTGAATGTTAAAACCAGCGCAGATGGGGCACCCCAATCCCTTAGTCTAGGAATCGATAGCACAGGAATAACTAAACAATCAGCAGTTTCTCTACTTAAACAGGGAGCCTTGTTGAAGACTGAGACGAAAATCATTGATGCTAACGATAATGATAGAGATAAGAGTAGAATAAGTTCAGTAACAGACAACTGCAATGTCAGGGCTTTTAATACTGGAAATTATTTGAATAATGGAAATATTGGGGATTTGGAGGAGAGGTCCATGAGGTCTTTGTCATCGCCTCAGTTATTTCAGAAGCCAGCAAGATCCAAAGTATACAGGAAGGCGTCGTTGAAGAGCTCTGGGGTATCGGCCAAGGGTGAATCCAGGAGGAATTCAATGGGGAGAATTTGCTGTGGTAAGGCAAGGAGCACGAGGGAGGAAGAGGCATCTAGAGTTGATGGGGTTCACATAATTTGCAATCCTCTGGCTACACAGTATCCTTACTCAACACCCTTTGGAAAGGGAAAGGACGAGGAGAAAGAGGCCAAGTGCAGTCACAGCAGCTGTGGCGGATTTCTTCCTATTTTCTCTCTTATACCTCAGGGTGTCGTCAGTTTACAGTACTTGAGCCCCAGGATGAAGTTCTCGTGGTGGAGAAATAAGATATCGTGAAGGCACGCTTAAGGGTAGACACTGGTGCTGGGGCATGTTGTTAGAGATTCACATAGCTTTTATTTTTATTTTTTATTGTATCTAGAACTTGTTACCTCTCCTGCATTTTTAATCCATCGATTTAACGTGTTTTATTGTCTTTATTAATGTCAATTATCGAGTTATAGATGATTGTAATCCTGTTATATCCATTTTGTGATTGTCATTGTACGTCGTACAATTTTTGTAGTAAATTGTAGATTTTATCGAGAAAAATGATATTATCTTTCAGCATCCGGTATTTCGATGTACCTTTCTTGTTCGCTTGATATTATTGTCCTCAATAAATGATATTGGATAGTGTCGATCTTGAGTTGATGATCAGGAATAATAAGAAAAACTGGAAAATTGGCACGAGATAATTGCGTTGAGCGCAGCGTTACAAATTGTCATCTTCATTTGCGTAATTTTTGTTAATAAATAACTCAGGATCATTAATGATGTTGAGAAATAATTAAGAGCGAATAATCTCAGTCGAGGCAGGAATAACTGCTATTGATTAGTCATTCCTGTTTAATTAAAGAAATAAAAAATACCAAAAAAAAAATACAAATTTTATTCTCTGTGAGCGTTATGTATGCTAAGAAGAAATAATATTATATATAAAGAATATATTGATATATTACTGTCTCTCTGCGATAAGTCTCTGGAGATGATTATTTACCAAAACAGCGAAACGAGGAAAAATGGTGATGAAGTGGTGAAACGAAAATCGACTTGAAAATCTTAAGGCCTATGTAAAAAATTCAAAAGTTTTTCGGTTTATCAAAACAATTGCACATTTTAAAGACACGATAATGTATTTGTCAATAGGTTTCACCACGTCACTTCTATAACAATAAAAATAGTATCTAACATCAAAATTATTTAATACGAGAATTTTTACGTGCGTCTTACGAACGAACATTAAATCGCATAAAACCAAAATCTATCAGTGTCATAGGAGAGAAATAGCCCAATTTTTTAATTCCCAAAAGATTAAAAAAAAACCTAAATAATATATAATTCTTTCACTACTCTTCGATGTCACTAGAATAATCGAGAATGAGAGACCTGTACCTTATATTTCTGTACGAGAGATAAGTAATAGAACTCCTATTAGAAAAAATAAATAAAACAAACAAAAATATTAAAAACAAATTGATGTAAATTGTTAGAGAATAATTCCTCTAGGGATAAAAAACCTGGGAATATCGAAGAGATGACTATTTTAATTAAGTATACAACTTACATCAATCAAATGGTCTATTTATTGAATGATTTATAAACCTAAATGACAGAAATAAATTACTTTTCGTCTGCTGAATAATCCAGGAAGAAAACAAACACTAAGATAAATATGAATTGCAGGTTATTATCTGTAGATTATTCTGTAGAATTAACTGTTGCATGCAATCAACGAATTTATGTATTATATTTACAACAATAAAACGAGAAACTAATGCATTAAAAGCTAGATGACGTGGGTCTCTGGGCTTTTCGATAAATGAGTCCTCATCCCCTGGAACATCATTCCCAAAGAGGACAAATCCTTTGGTTTTTTATCTGTTATTACCATCTCAGTGTTGAGATCATCAGCTTCAACATCTAGGGCCGCCCTGACCTTCTCTATGGCTTTGGAAGCAGAAGAAATTCGTTTTACCATTCAATTAATAATTGCATGTTATTAATTACCTCTGCGCAAATCCATTTCGTCCATCTCCCCATTGCTAATTTTTGACAACTCCCTCCGGAAATTATTTGTCAATTTCTTTCTGACAGAGTCAGCCTCGATATTCTGCTTTGTCCGAGGTATCCTAAACCTGATACAACAACAGAGGCCAATGATGAGGGTCAGGATAATGGAAATGACAATAGCCGCAAGTTGCCAGACCCTAAATCCAGCAAGTGCCTCATCCTCCAGCCACTTTTCCACTTCGCCTTCTCCACAATCACGAAGGCCAGCTACAACTTCATCTGGAGTACATGGAGATGCCGAGGGCTCTGAAATCGTGGAAACAGTTGATTCCATTCCCAAGGGATTCTATTCCATTCCAACTGTACTCTTTTCTACTTTTATTCCAGGTATGGGTCTGTGGATCGCTCAAAATCAACTGAAAATGTTGAAAATGGCTTTTTGCTTTCATGCTGAGACCTAGGTGTGGCCCGATGAATTATTCCCCTCGACACACCCAATTTCTTCTCCATAGTTAGCTTCCATCATCGTCACGAAATCAAACCAATCGATATATCCACATTTTTCATAATTTCCTGACAAATTGAAGTAGTCGTTCACTCATCAGTGGAGTACCTGAAGGATTACCTCTCGAGATAAATGGAATTGCACAATTAATGACAATGACAATGACAGCGAATGTTTTAATCTTTTTTATTACCTTATAATAAGTAAAGATTGGAAATAAAAATACTCATTTGTTACAAAAACAATATTCTATGGTTCGTGGCTATGACATCAAATTGTGTCACTTCATCAACAAGGTCTATCTCGTATCAATCCCCATCAAGTTAAAAGTGTTTTAAGAATCTTATTACCATTAAATTCGAACCCGTTATTACATTAATTTCGTTACGATACAGGATTGGAAGCCAGAGGTATTCCATCACAGAACACAATAAAAATGATTGAGTATATCGACGGGATTGGATCGTTTCATTGAAATGCATTGGACAATACTGATGGACAATCAGAGGAGTCTAAACGTTCGGTGTAGAAAATTCTCGATTTAATCGAATGACAAAATTCCGGCACTAGTGGTTCAGCCTCTCAAGTTATCTATAAAGTCATGAATTTAATTCACTCCAGAACAGATAAAACTAAAATTATTATTTCTTTTGATTATTCATTCCCTAAACAATAAACTATTACGCATTATTTATGACTCATGTCTCCTTAAACGTAAGTACACGATGTGAACGTGCGAATGGAGAACATTAACCAAGGAGAGTAAAAAAAAAAGAGTGCCTGTATCGTTTAAAATATCGAATGTCTAATGTTTTTTTTGTAACTTTGAAAATTTCCTGCGAGTTCGATTCAGTAGAAGACCACTGAATTGATTCTTTCCTTAGTCTAGGTCCTACGAGCCACCCGACAATATATTCTCTCGACCAACATGATAGATCCTTCCCCCAGGACACATCGTCGGCTCAATCTTCCCCCATGCCAGGCGAATGTCCACTTTAAATTTATAGTTAATCCACGATTTTTCGATTCAGATTGTCTGACTGTTGCTGGACCAATTCATTCCTTCCTGATGAATGTTCGACCTGTTATTGTTTTCTTCTCGGTGCTCTTTGATGCTGATTTTGCACGATTGAGGATCTTCAGGAAGTCAGTGGTTTTGGTTCGCATTCGTGAGTGGATATAGACCTTACTGCACTTGATGTGATAATGCAGGTAATTTCTGAACATGTGGATCAGATCAATCGTGTTGTCCCGGCATTCTCTGTTTGTGTGCCTTGGGAAGAGTACGAATGTTACGTATCCGATGCTGTCACCAACAGCTGCATCACAGTCTTGAAGCTCGATCGGTGGTTCTCGGTGATTGAATAGCACCTGAGGTGCTGTGTGACTGGCCCTTCTTCCTTCCTTCAACTCCTGGAGGAACATCTTCCCAATGACCATGTCATCCTCGTCCTTAAATATCGTACTGAATACCACTGTGACACGATCGCTCTTTGCCTCGACGTATATTGTCTCCTGGTCTCGGTAATGGATGACAGCCCTTTTTGGGCACTGCTCAGGGTTGTCCACGTATTTCTCCTGGAAGTCGAAATATTTCTCGAAAACACTTGCGAAGCAGTGCCTCTTGAGAAGGCCCACTTTCTTTACGAGGGACTCCCAGTCTTCTGGTAAATTCTCAATGTCTACTTGCAGAGAGACATTGTAACCTGACTCGGGCTCTACGAGGTAAGCCCCATATTCACGTTTGAGCAAGTCATCAGCACCGTATTCTCGCAATTGCCCGTAGAATTTGAGCGAAATACTTATCCTAAGTTTTGACTTATCCCCGTTGGGATTGGACATGTGGAAGAGAGCTCCATCGAAGTCCGCTATTATGACGTCTGTAGACTCGGGTTTGTGTCTGCAATTATAGTTTATTAATTAACACCGACTGAAACAATAAATCGAGAATTTATTATGAAATCTTCTGAAAAACATCACCTATAGCGAAAATAATCTAAAAAAGTTCACGAGTCGCGATAAAATCAAGAAATCATCATTGAAACGATAAAACTCAACCCACTCCACTCTGAATTGAGTTTTTACGGAATATCTCCGAATGTACTGGAGATAAGAGAAAAGTAGAGAATACATTTCTTGGAGCGGATGTCAAGAGCTACAAAAAAGTTGCCACAATAATTCCTGTATCTCCCACCGCTGCGAAATTATTTCCGAAAATGTGAACCTGGTAATTCTCAACTGACGTAAATACCCCCCGGCATCAGTCCCCGATATCTCCGAATCTAGAGGAGCTATCAAAAAATCGAAGAGGACTTTTTTGTATTCCACTTGAACCCCTCCGAAAAACGTCCTTACAAAAATCCCCTCGGGGTCTTTTGAGTTACGACTGAAAACCCAAATCGGAGTGCAAAAAGAAACTGAAAAAATCAAATTCTCAGCTTTTACCGCTCGTCTCGACCCTCAATTGAGGTTAAATCCTCTTTAAAATTCCCTCACTAGATCCAGTTATCCTTGCCTAGACCGCAGATACGAAATTAGTCATCTCTAGCGGTTCTGAAAACCCGATGACACATTTAAACAACAAACGCCGGGTTTAACCAATAAAAAAAAATCAGACAACGCCCAGATGGAAAAATGTTATCTCCAAGACCGGATGGAATCGAAAATGCCCCAGGACAACCCAACGAACAAATTCAATAGAAAATAACAAATTAATCGATCAAAAACCCGTACTCACCCCGATAATGAATTTTTTATTTTTGTATGTAACGTTTCTTCTAGTATCCTATTGTTAATCTCCAGCAGAATCATTATTGCTCACTAATAACTTCTCTATTTAAAACAATAATCAACAATTTATTACTGCTGTCACCATGAATACGGCACACTTCACTTTTTCCTACTCGTTTCAACTGGAACTGATTATTTCAACTTCATGAGGTTTTTTTTCCCCGTGGAAAATTCTGAGATGGATTATCGAGTGGATTTTAACGTGGAATTACTCTCATGTCAGCGAAGTTTAAGATGGCGTGTTTCGATGTCGATTGTGGATAAAACAGAAATAAAACAGGAATAAAACAGGAAATTGCCCCTTCCAATTTATCATAGACAAAATTAGATAATTTTTTTGGGTGAAAAAAAAAAATCCCTCCAACCGAGTCTCAATTTAGATTCATCTTGAAGAATAAAAAATTTCTTCGTTAAACATCATTTTATTATTTTCATTCTGTATCCACACCGCGATCGGATAGAAATATCCATTTTCAATTTGATCTCCTCCATTTTTACGCTCGTCTCGAACCGACAACTCCTCACTAAATTAGCAATAATTGTTTTGAGACAAATAATAGCGAATTTTTGGCCGACACAGCCCCGGAGACCTCCGCTGAAGGGAATGTACGAAAAAGGATGCCTCTTGTTGCAATTCTCTGGAAGAAATCTATCCGGATTAAATTCCTCAGGGTGATCCCAGTACTCTTCATTCCTGTGAGTCCTGAACGCCGCGATGACGACGGAGCAATTCTCCGGAATAGTACAGCTCTCTGTGACACAAATAATTAATTATAATTTGTTAATAAACATCGACATCACCTTATTTCCATACCCAATTCGATTACCCCAGTGGTTCTTCGGACCATCAACGGGGCGATAGGAAAGAGCCTGAGGGTTTCCCGGATCACTCTCTCGAGGTACTTGAAATCCGAAAGATGCACCTCCTCGACGTCTTCACTCCCCCCAAGTACCTCGACAACTTCCTCCCTGACTTTCTCTTGAATCCCCGGATGCATCGCCAGCATCAGCAGCGTGAACGAGGAAATTACAGCAATCGTATCCTGCGCCTGAAAAAATCACTCCCATTACACCAGAAGGATGACGTCCACGTCTGCATTAGTCTCGTATCGAAGAGATTATTTACGGCGATATAAACAGTGTAGATTTGATACCGAAGTTCCAAGTCATCCATCGACTGGTTCTTCATCATGTGATCGATCATCTGCTCCAGTAACATGACTCTCGGTCTCTCCTCAGTGATTGCACCCCTCGCAAGGGCCACATGTTCCCTTTTTTTACGTGCAATCGCCTGACAATTACCCATATTTAAATCCATATAAATCAGAAAAATTTCAATAGAAAATTCACCTGATCAACAATCCCATGAATGATCTTCAGTCCGGTCCTCTGTTCCTCTCCCATTTCTGTCCTTTCGAATATAAAATCCGGATGGAGCCAGATCTTAAACATTCTCAAGTGAATAAATTCGTAGATCCTGGAATAATAATTATCCCATGAATATTCCAACTGCGTTAAATAAATCGAATTATTCCGTACCGATCGGAGTAATGAACGAATCTCTTGTATCCGCCTCTCTGCGCAGCACCGGAAATCCCGAAAATTGTTTCTAAACACAAACAACGTTGAACGAATGCCTGATAATGACAGTCATCAATTTATATATTCACCGAGCATCATGTCAGTTGTGCAATTCGTCAGAAAAGGGAGAACATCAAATTCTCCATGTTGGATAGTGTCCTCCATTAATTTCCTGCAGTAGTGGCTGTGAATATTAAAACACTTCAAGTACGTCGTCAATGCTCTCCCATTGAGCATCGGCATTACAATTTTTCGGTGTGTTCTTTGTCTGGGACCTGAAAAATAAACATTTCGTAATGTTAATGAAGATGGACAGATACTCTGGACCAACTTGCGGTGTACCTGAACCACTGACGAGGCCTTGACCCACTGCTGGCTCCATCATCCTATAAATTGGGTCTTTGTATGATGCCTTAGGGCTTCCCAGTATTATCTAATCAGTATAGTATCTAATAAGTATTTTTCCTGTTTAATTAACATCGACGAACAATTCCGGTTGATAATTAAAATGATAATTAATTAATTATACTTCGTAATCCCGAGGATCTGTCAGGACAACCACGAGTTGGGGCCCCAGCCAGAAGCGAAATGTCTTCTCATTATTCTTTATGATATCAATAACTCTGTCGAAAGTCTCTTCATGCGGAAAAAATGATGGATTATAATAAATGATGATGATATTTTTTAAAGGAACTCGTGATGATTTACCCTCGGGATTCACCGCGAACTCCAGAGCATTTCCTAATAATGGAAGTGTTGGGGGTCCGGGCAGACTTCTGGCGAATTTTACGAGTGCATATCGACGACGGAAGTAACTCCTGGTGGACGTCCACAGGTAAACAGCAGCTAGTGCCCCAGCTATGAGAGCTAAATAGAGAATAATTTCTCAATCCTGTCTTTCCGTGATATTAACCGACTCACCGAGCACTGAAACACTCAGGAAATCCTCTGGAATCAACGGCACACGTGTCAGCGACATTTTAATTACCCGGGAAAACACCGGTTGCACGAATTTTCCGTCTGCTCGGTTTTGCGTTTATTCGGAAACTGCCCCGCGAAGACTTGAATTTTTGTATTTATACTCGGTGAGGAAGAATAGTAGATACTCCTTTGAATAAATAATAGGGTATAACACGGTGAACGGAACCTTCAGAGTGAGTCTTCGGAGTTGGCGGTTTTTTTTTCAATTTCTCTTCGTGTTCAAGTTTATCAATCCCCTGAGAGTTAATGAACGCGTGCACCCGCACGTGTCTTGACCCCAGAATATCACAATTAATGGAATAATTAAGTGGATAGATTCTACACATCCTGTTCCAAAATGTCCCCTGTAGCAATAAAGAGTTTTATTTGTTCCTCAATTATGTGTGTCAACAGGGGAAGGGGATATGTGAATTATTTCATCCAATAGTTTTGTTTCACCGGCAATGGGCAATACCGGGACAAAAGTAGAATGACACTAGTGGGATTAATTTATTGAATGAAATAGGTGTGTGTTGGGTAGTCTGAAGGGGGAGTCCAAGAGCACTTAGGACAGATTCATAGGGCACCTACTCGTAATCATCCCAGTGTACGATCAACTCTATCCCGAGCTGTTTCAATATCCGAGGTCCTCAAAAAATATATCATTGCTTTCGATAAGTGAGTTGAATTCAATAGCGACGAGTCAGCGAGTTCAAGGGAAATCCTTGTCATTGATTTCTCGTATTCGTCAACATCTTTTATTATTCCTCTTTCATATTCAAAATTCAAACGACATAAACCCATTGATATTCCCCTCGCGATTTATCTGGTAATAAATTTCGTGGAGGTTTCCGCGATTCTGACAAAAGCTGATACATCTGATACATTCAATGAATAATTTATTAATCGGGGAATGATACTGTGAGAATTTACGTGATGATTGGGTAATTCGCGGGGTAATTCGCGAATACCTCCGGGTAGTTCAATTGCCGATAAAAGACGTGACTGATATTTTTTCCAATAACTCGTTTATTGTCGTTTGTAAAATGGAGCAAGGTCCCTCGTTGGGAACAGCGATTCCCGGAAGTGTCTCGTTGTCGTCATCCATCATCATCAAGAACCCCAATCCAGAGACACACGTCTCGAATCGTCGACGGATGTTCCGAAGAATTTTCATAATCAATTCCCTCAATCATTACCAAGCGCAAATAAAAAAGATTATCAAAAGAGAAATTAACAGACAAGAAAATTACAACAGCTCATGTTTGACTAGTTTTTATTATTTTTTTGTGCCGTGAGAGAAAAATGAAATTTCTGTCCGCAGATTCCGTCGCAAATTCCGAATGAAATCATGAGGTGAATGATAAATCTAGTTCAATTGGGCATTTACCGAAGAGATACAATGCCGTGCGATAATACGGGGACACGAGTCCGTGTGGACAGATCAACGAGTCCACTACCTCAGAAGCAATCGGATCCTGTCCAGGAGCTGAAGGCTCTCTTCACCGAGCCCCCGAAGACAAGTGCAGTCACCAACGGGAGTAAACAGGAAGATAATCACACGAAAGCAGTTGAATGTTTTCAAGTGGTAGTACCTGAAGAAGAGGATATACCTGAACGCGGAAGTTGGGGGAGTAAAATTGAATTTATACTGTCGGTGGTGGGTCTTGCTATCGGTCTGGGTAATCTCTGGAGATTTCCCTACCTCTGCTACAAGAATGGCGGGGGTGCATTCATGGTGCCGTATTTTATTGCCCTCGCACTGGCGGGCATACCAATGTTCCTCATGGAATTGTCACTGGGACAGATGATGACCATCGGAGGACTCGGGGTTTTTCAAATCGCTCCGATTTTCAAAGGTAAAAAAATTCTGGGGAAAAAATTCTAGTCTACGGGATTTTTTTTACATTCATTGCAACGAATTCTCTTTTTATTCTGTAGGAATTGGATATGCCACGTGCGTTCTCTCATGCTGGACAAATATTTATTATATTATTATTCTGGCATGGGCGCTGTTTTACTTTTTAGTCTCCCTAAGCTCAGGTGCGTGTATTTTTTTACTGCATTCTGAAATTAATAATTTATCAAATAAACCGACATTTTGAAATTCAGACGTCCCCTGGAGGACGTGCAGCAATTACTGGAACTCTGAGTACTGCATAACACCCGCAGAGCGTCTGAAAGCGAATTGCTGGTCAGATTTATTCCGCAACGTGACAGTGTGTCAAACATCGATTGGAAATTACAGTACACTAGTCCTGACAGATCCCGTCAAGGAATACTGGGAGTGAGTGATTCCCAAGATCCCCAAAACCCTCCAGAAATTCAATTCCATCTTCTTCCAGGCGAAGAACTCTGCAGATATCCTCTGGGATCGAGGAGATAGGGGGCATCCGGTGGGAGCTGGCAGGAACTTTAGCTATCGTCTGGATTATGTGCTACTTCTGCATCTGGAAAGGTGTCAAATGGACAGGAAAAGTCGTGTACTTCACCGCTCTCTTCCCCTACGCCCTCCTCTTCTGCCTCCTCATCAGGGGCCTCACTCTGCCAGGTGCTATGGAGGGACTCAAGTACTATGCCACCCCGAATCTGTCGAAGCTAGGGGACCCTGAGGTGTGGATTGACGCTGTCACCCAGATATTCTTCTCCTACGCCCTGGGACTCGGTGCTCTCGTGGCACTCGGCAGTTATAATAAATTCAAAAATAATGTGTACAAGTCAGTATTCTGGGATTATTTATAATAATCAATCCTGGTGTTGATTATTCTTTTTTTTTCAGAGATGCCCTGGTCGTCTGCTGTGTGAACTCTGGAACCAGCATGTTGAGTGGAGTTGTAATTTTTTCAGTTGTTGGATTTATGGCACATGAACAGCAGAAGCCAGTCGCCGAGGTGGCTGCCTCTGGTGATTATTCATAAATCGTTCAATTATAATAAATATAAATTCTCAAGTTTTCTATTTTTTATTATTCTTCTTCAGGACCTGGCCTCGCCTTCTTGGTGTATCCCTCAGCAGTCCTTCAGCTTCCAGGAGCTCCTGTTTGGAGTTGTCTCTTCTTCCTGATGTTGATTCTCATTGGACTCGACAGTCAGGTATCAATGTAAAAAATTATTCCATAGAACTTACTGCATTACTTATTGTATTACGTTGTCTGTAGTTCTGCACAGTGGAAGGATTCATCACAGCAGCAGTGGACGAGTGGCCACGTCTCCTCAGGAAGCGCAAGGAAATATTCATCGCCATTGTGTGCTTTTTATCGTACCTGATCGGGCTTTCGTGTGTCACTGGAGTAAGTCCCATGAGGATAATATATAATTTATTATTCTATCGGAGTTTTTTAACTTTGGAATTAATTTTAAATCACAGGGAGGAATGTTCGTCTTCCAATTATTAGATTCTTATGCCGTCAGTGGATTCTGCCTCTTATTCCTCATGTTCTTCGAGTGCATCGCGGTCTCGTGGGCTTTTGGGGTGAATAGATTTTACGATGGGATAAAGGACATGATTGGGTACTATCCCTGCTTCTGGTGGAAGATCTGCTGGACTGTCACCACACCTGCCATATGCGTGGTAGGTCCATGGAATAATTACGATTAATTTCATAATTGATTGTGATTTAAAAGTGCAATAATTTTTTTTTTAACAGGGAGTCTTCATTTTCAATATAATTAAATTCGTCCCTGTGAAATATCTGGATTATGAATTTCCCTGGTGGAGTCATGTGGTAGGTTGGCTAGCAGGTCTCTCCTCGATGATGTGCATACCTGCTTATATGATTTACATTTGGTTCGCAACCCCAGGATCATTTTCAGAGGTGAACTAAATCAATTTAACGCGGAATAACGCAATTTAAATAATGCTTCATGACTTCGATGATTCATTTTTCAGAGATGGCGTAAATTGGTTCGAATAGACGATGACGTGGCCACTCTGAGAGCAAAATTAAATCCAGTCAAAGCAGCAGCCATCAAGGAAGAGTTCAATCTGTAGTTCACACTGCCTTTATCATTAAAAAACAGAGTGCTTTCGTGCTTTTTTTTATTTCCATAAATGTTGTATTGACAATTATTGAAAGTTCATCATGAAATGTTAACGACGTCTTTATATTCTTGAAATAAATTCTTTATACAAATTGAGCATATGATTTTTTTTCTCCAGAATTAGTCTCGCTTCTGCATCTCTTTGATTTTATCGATGAGTCGATTTTTCCACTGCTCCTCGGAGACAGATTGAGCCCATTCTGGAATCGCATCCACTGGGAGAGTGAATTTAGCCATCGCGGATTTTACCTGACTGATTTTATCAGCATCCAGATCGATGTTCGAGGCAGTCGAAGATGAGGACCAAACCTGGAGGGTCTCTGGGTTCTCTGGTTCATGCACCTCATCCTCTGGAACTGCATAGGGCTGTTGGTTGCTCGAAGGCATCCAATCGTCGTCCTAAAAATTTTCCAATGCTTTTCTAATTGGAGAAATCGAAAAACACGTCGATAGAATTACCTCATCATCATCTAGGAGAGTATCAGCATCAGTGGGCACCTGGGACAGAGGAATATACCCAGCAGCTCCAAAATCCTCATCTTCGCTATCTGAATCAGCAGCAGGTTCCTCAACATTCAGGTTCGGTGCCTTCAGGTTCTGCTCAATTGGCTCTTGGGTGGGTTCCGGAGACATTATTGACACTGTCAAAATAATAACCTCCACCTGTCACTGTCAGTCCCCTCGTAATATTTATTCACAAATCACAAGATATTTAATGTCAATTAAAAAAAATATTCTCAACATTTATGAATTAATATATTATCAATTTATTTATTTTATCACAATTTCTTGTTCTTTTACATTATTTATAAGGAATAATAAATTATTCGGAAATTTTCATTCTAATCGTAAATTGCGTATGGCTTATCGGGCCGTGGCTCTGCGCATACGCGGGCTGTGCGCAGGAGCCATCTCTCCAAATGGCCGCCATCTTCTCGCCTTCCCAGTTCACTGGCGGCCGGCGCACGGTGTAGTTCGGGCTCGTGTAAAATCGCGTTAAAATGTTGGACAACCGTGTCCTGGGTGAGCATAGTGTACTGGCGTTATGTTTCAACATAAACAGAAGCATGGACAAGGGCTTGGTAATGATTTTTTAAATAAATTAATCGTGTGGGAGTGATATTGTGAAAATAGTGATTTTTCGGTGGTGCGAGACAAAGAAACAAAGAGAATATAGAGCCGCCGGCGCCAATGTTTATCAACACAAGGCGTCTGGTCTGTGCTGGAACGGCGTTTTCCTGGAATTTTCGCCGCTTAGAAGGCATTTAGAATATTGCATGATTATAAGAACACTTGGGAGAATATTTCGGAGTTTTAAGTGAGTGATAAATACACATGAACTCGAGGGCGAAAAGATGGTGTTGGCTGATGGGTATTTTTTTTCTCGGAATTTCTTGACTCGTAATTTCGTGTTTAAAGACTGATTCATTAATTAAGTCATTAATTAATTGCTTTATTAATGCCTCAGTGAAGATGTGGAAGGTGTAATTGCACTTTGAAGGGGATTTTCGTGTTTTTTTTTTCGATAAATTGAATGAGACAAAGGGGCGCCATTGGCGGGAAGGAAAAATCGAATGAACAAAGGGGCAAAATGGCGGAAAGTCTTTGTTCGGTGGTATGTGATTTTGGTGGAATGTGAAGATTTTGAAGAATATTACGTCATCTTTCTTTCGTGAATAATAAATTATTAATACGGACACTGGAACTGGAATATGAAAAGTGCAATTGAAGACAATTTTCGTACATTTTGCTTCCAATACATTGAATAAACTGAAAAGGGGGGGGCATTTGCCGGGAAGAAATAGTCAAATGAACGGACAAAGGGGGGAAATGGCGGGAAGCCTTTGTTCAGTGGTGGTGTAGTGTTGTGTGACTTTTTATTGTGCGATTTCGTCTGCTATGAAGTGATCAACATCAACTGAGGAATACATCGAGAGTGTAATCATCACGGAGGAGATGTTGCTGCAGGGTCGAGAGGATTACACCTCCTGGACGTTACGAGACATCCCTTAGATGGTACGGGAGGTGAAACCGACTGGTGTAACCAGAGGTTTCATCCAACCCGGTGAGTGATTCAAACCAATTTATTTATTTAGCTACCGAGGCGAGAGGAAGAGATAATTTATTCTCTAATAATCGTGCGAAAAGGAAAATGCGATTTTTATTAAAGCGATTATTTCGATATTTTCGGATTATCCGGGTGATTATCCTGGATCCAATTAGCTAGCCAGAGTAGGGGTTCGTTAGGTTTATCCATTTTTAACTGGAAATTACAGGGGAAAATAATCAATTAAATAGGGAATAATTATCATATCATTATTCAATTTTTTGAATATTATTCACCTGAGCGAGGCCATTAATTAGGGTAGGAATTAGGGTTTTTCGGAAATAATCTGGAATATAGTCTCGTTCGATAATCGGTTCGACGACGACTAGAACAGAACAAAAAAAACAATGCGAAAGATTTTAGGAAGTCAATTATCGAAATTGCGACTATCTACCCCTATCGAAAAATATATAGAACTCACAATTGGGAAAGAAAAAACAAATTTCATCCCTCGCGTCCTCGATTGTTCGACTTCCATGAACAACATTCTCGACATCATCTCCATCTTCTCCGTATAACGCTCGAATACTACTCGGAAAATATAATTTCGCCTGCTTCACCTTCCAAGAAGTACAATTATAAAATTGAAATCGAGTCAATAAAATATGAAATTACCTATCACTCTATTCGCTATACCTCCGAATCTAATGAAGATAGAGATATTTTAGTGATTGAGGATTTTTTTGTGGAGAAAAGTGATAGGTACAAAAATTTCTCATGCAAATTTCGCTATCTTCTTTAAATTCTGGACTCGGATTTTTTAATTACATTAACAATTCAAACTTACGTCTTTTGGCCCCATGAGTCTTCTCCACTCCTTGATAGCTCCATTCCTCCCAAGGACAAGAGCGACGATAGGTCCAGATGATAAATGAACCGCTAAGAGTGGAAAATGTAGCTTACCATATTCTTTATAATAAAATTCCGCGGCTTGTTCAGTGGTCAATTGCACAGTTCTTTCACCACAAATTTCGAAACCCGCGTCGATGATTCTTTTTTTTATTGAATTCCTATACTCCAGGGCACCTGGCTTAATAATTGCCAGAGTGCACTCAACATCAAGCCTCTCGTCCTCTTCCTCACTCGGAAAATCACTCCCATTTGATATGGCTTTTCTAACCGCCACTTTTTTGAATTTCGATAGCCATTCCTCACAAATTTCGTCTCCACAGATATCATTTCCATTTTGGGCATCATTACAGTAGCATTGAGTGGAATTGTCCACTTGCACTGAATTATTTGGAATTTCTAAAGATAATTTTAACACACTGCTGGCACTCCTCGGAATTTTTATATTGCTCCAATCAATGGAATTGCATGCATCTCTTTCATTATTTGTGCTCTCATATGGGGGTTTTATATTCCCCAATGCAAGGTTCTGCGTTATTCTCTGAAAAAAATTACTACACATGTTCGGGCGTCGAAGTTTAAAAATTATTTCCTTGAGTGGGTGGGTGAATAAATTTAACCACAATGTTTCTTCAAACATATCTATATTTTATGAAGATTTTACTCCTCAGTTGTTTGGTAGTAAGCATCAAAGTTCACGTAAATAAACAAAAATAAAGTTCTAACTAAACAGTTAATAGAAATAATAGAACAGGGATATATTTAAGGGGATAAATTCAATCGCTCAATTTTTTTGAGAATATCAAAAATAGAAAATGTAAATTATACGGTAAAAATATAGTTCAGTTGAGTTTTGAATCCTTCTCTCTGCGTATTTCATAACAATTTTTTTTTAAACATCCGATGAAGTCCCCGTCGTAGAATTGCGCTTGGATATTGTCAGAGGTGCGCACATCTCGCACACCTCATCCTTGCATTCGTTTATGTGAATTAAAATGCGTTTTGATGAGATACAATTTGGAATCCAGCAGTTGAGGGTTCTCTCGCAGTTCTTCATGTGCTCCAGCAGGTGCTTCGTGCTTGTACACGAAGGCTTTATGCAATTGTCTGATAATCCCTGAGACTCTTTTCTCCTGCAATCGAATGCATGCACCAGTCTCAGCATCTGCTCCTGTCTCTCTTTCATTTGGTCAGTCTTTTGGGGCTCTCCCCTTGTTGTTTGATCACGCCTAGTTTTAGGAAATGGCACTTTTGCCCTTGAATCAAATCCCGAATCATCTCTCGATGGCTGACGCAGTGACTTTGGGTGAAATCCCCTTGTCTGCTCGGAAAAATATATCCTACGATCTGACGAGTTCCTGAATTTGAATCCTTTATTCTCTCTCGAATATTGCTCCCCGCTCGTAATCTTCTGTAATCGCCACTTCTTTGGAGGCATTAAAGACTCTGTAACCAAATTGCAATTATTCATATTTCCACTGGTTTTTCCTGATGATTTTTTCTTTTTTCGGCTTCGAGTTGGTATAGGCCTTTCTGGGATTCTCACGACCACGATAGGGTCATCGTCCCAGGATTCTCCCGTTGTCTGCCATATGGTACGAGGTGATGCGAAAGGATTCAATAGGAATCGATTTTCTTCGGAATTTTTGCCTACAAGCGAAGGGTCCTTTGATTTTTTATTGATCTCTTGGGGCTGGTTGGGACCTGTCAGCAGTTGGACGTTAAATCTTTTTCTTAATGGCGAGCACAGGGGACAGTCCTCTCTTCTGCAATTTTCCCAGTGCCTCAGGATCATTTTTGAGGAGCTGCAGCGTGGCACACTGCACTTTTGTTTCTTTTGACAGTTGTTTTGGTGGATCAGCAGATCCTTTATGCTAGAACAGTGAGGTTGAACACACCTGATCTGAACCTCACTGGATTCTTCCTGGAGAATGTCACATCTCTGGGCATGAAGGAGTAAAGCTAGACACTGTTGAATCGCTTTTCTCTGGGTACCTCCGGTGTCCTTTAATTCCATGTCATTCGAGGTTTGCTCGTGGTCCTGTTGTAATGATGTGTTTGGTGGAGGAAGTTCTATTATTTCGTCCTCTTCCTCCAGATCAATCACCACTGGGCATTTTTCTGGCTTGTTGTTGTTGGTTTCCATGACTTTTCATTCACTAACATTCGATTCTCTCACGTATTTTGCAAATTAATTGCAAATGAGACTCAATGTTTTGATTTGGCTGCGAACAATGCTGAAGGTTATGACGCCTGAATGCCGGAAAGATGTTGTGGGGGGCGGGAAATGGAAAATTTGCCAGGAAGTGGCGCACCTGCGCACTCCTTATTTTAAATTTGAATTGGGAAAAAAATTAATCGCGTGTAGGAGTGAGAGGAAAATAATGCAAAAGGTCTTTTAAGGGACGAAATGAAAATTCATGTAAAATCATTAGATATAACTCGTAAATTCCAAGCGATTAAAAAAACTTTAATATTCCCTGTGTAAATACAGAATAAATAACATTATTTTATTAATTTCAGTGCAGAGATTATTTAATACTGCGAGAAGGGTATAAATATTTCAACAGCATTTTCGAGATTTCGTCGTTTCACATGAAAAATTAAATTGGCTTTTGTTTATTACTCAGGGTGTTTTGTTTTTTTTTTTTAATACTCATAGTGTGGAGTGACCCGATGGGTCAATTGGTCACGTTCCAATGCATCAAACTGACATTACCACGTGCCTTTATGCCACACTTGTGAGTAAGAAAGAAAATCGTGAATAACAACTTAATTTACTTCTTCTTTTTTGACTTCTTGTCAACCGCATTTGGTGTTATCACACCAGTAGCATCGCTTAGTTCTTTCTTCAATTTGAGAAGAATATTGAGTTCAGGCTGCCAAACACTTTTTTCACTATTGGCTTTGAGTTCTCGTACTACGAGTCCCTGGAGAAAAAAAACGTAGGAAAATAATTACATTAGAGCCTGGAGTGTGAGAAATTTAGTAATTGATTAAAATGGCAAACCTGTTTGGCAATGGCAGCTTCCAGAGCAGGAATATCAATTTTTCCATTTTGAACTGGGCCGTTCTCTTTATTTTTTTCTCCAATAGTTGCAGTATTAACTGTTATAATAGAGGTTTCAGTGATTTTTGCAAGTTGTTCCTTGAGCTTGAGTAGAATCTGCACCTCAGGTTGCCAGACACTCTTATCCGTTTTGGATTTGAGCTCCCTGACTTTGAGCCCCTGAGCAGCAATCTGCCCCTGCAATTCCTCGACACTTCCTTCGGTTTTTCCACCGTTTGTTCCATTGTCCTGTTTGCCTCCGTACTTGCTCCTTAATTCCTCGACAACGGCTTCTTCGATTTTACTGAATAAGGGGGTGGGCTCACCGAGTTTGTGTCCAGGGGATAGGAGAATGGAGACTTTCTCTGGGATGTAGCCGTATGTGCTACCATCGAGTCCCAACTGTTTTCTCAATTCTCTCGATGTGTCTGGCATGAAGGGACCCAGAAGGGCTGATAGGAGGCAACTTATATTACAACATACCCCTATCACTGTCCCTGCAGTCTTCACCTCTTTTCCTTTGACCATGACCCAGGGCTGCTGTGCCTGCATGTACTGATTTCCATGCTTTGATATACCCAGAAGATGTCTCACTCCGTCCCTGAATTTTCCCTGTTCCATAGCCACGATATAATGGCTCAATTCTCGCTGGACTAAAACCAGCACCTGATGATCTTCCTCTCGAAGCTCCATCTCAGGTACTTTTCCCTCAAAGTTTTTCACAGCAAATGTTAGGGCTCGATTGACAAAGTTTCCAAAATTATTGAGTAATTCTGAGTTATTTTTGGTGGCTAGATCCACCCAGTTGAAATTTGAGTCTTGGTTTTCTGGTCTGATGTACGTCAGGTAAAACCTCCAGACGTCAGCTGGAATTCCTGTCTCTCTAGCGTCAGTTCCGAAGACTCCAATTCCTCTGGACTTTGAGAATTTAGTGTCCTCGTAGTTGAGATATTCAGTAGCCATGATGTGCTTGACTAGAGTGTGGCCCTCATTAGCTGCCAATAAAGTTGCTGGGAACATAATAGCGTGGAAGGGTACATTGTCCTTGGCCATGAATTGGTAGAGATTGACATCGGTGCCTTCACTGGGCTTCCACCATTTTTCGTACTCCTGGGTGTATCTTTTGGTGATGCTTACGTATCCCAGGGGTGCGTCGAACCATACATAGAAGACTTTGTCCTTGAACTCATCGATTGGAACGGGAATTCCCCACTTGAGATCTCGGGTTATGCATCTGGGCTTGAGGCCGTCTCGTAACCAGGGTCGGGTGACAGCTCTAGCGACATTCGACCAGTTCTTTTCGGCTTTAGATGCCCATTCTTTGAGCTTGGGCTGAATCTTTGGAAGATCCAGGAAAAATTGAGTCGATGCTTTTATCACTGGTGTCTTTGAACATACTTTACATCTCGGATTTATCAATTCTGTTGCGTTGACGAGGTGTCCACACCCGTCACACTGATCACCGCGTGCGTCCTCGTATTTGCATCCAGGACACGTGCCCTCGACAAATCTATCCGCCAGAAAACGATTGCAATTCTGACAGAGCAGTTGATCCACACTCTCGGTTATTATGTATCCTTGAGATTTTATTCTGAGGAATGACTCCTGTACGATTTCTGTTTGCTCCGGTGTTGTGGTTCTACCGAAATAATCAAAACCAATGTTGAACCAGCGGTAGATGTCGTTATGGATGTCGAAAAATTTATCGCAAATCTCCTGGGGTGTCATATTCTCTTCGAGGGCTTTGGCTTCTGTTGCTGTTCCGTATTCGTCGGTTCCACTGATGTAGAGGGTATTGTAATCACGTTGACGGCAGTAGCGAGCGAAAACGTCAGCTGACAGGACACAGCCGATTATGTTACCCAGGTGGGGGACATTGTTTACGTAGGGGAGGGCTGAAGTGATAAGAATATTGCGCTCATTTTTTCTGGGAAGTACAGGGTATGTCGGGGGTTTTATTGAGGGATGGAGAGGTGTTGACCAGTTCTTCTTTGATGTCTCTAATTCTTGTTTGGTGATAGCTTCGGGCTCCTTGGTGGGGCTCGAGGGCTCGAGGGCGGCAGTTTTTTGACGTATACCAGTGTAGGAATTCATGGGAAACCAAGAGGATGAGTTAAGACTGGAAATTGCTTTGAAGCCATTTTCGAGGGGAAATTTTGAGAGAGATTGCTGCACATGCGGAAGGATTGAGATATTTTCGAGCCATTTGTCGACATGGGGAAATTCTTTAGTGATTTCTGCTGAGACTTCAGTCGAGCAGATGGTGCACCACAGGGTGCAAAAGATCGCGATGTCTGCGCTGGTGTGGGTGTCAGGGGTGATTAAGTACTTTTTGGTTTTTAATTCGGAGTTGAGCTGGGAAAGGAGCGACCAAATTCTGGGCTTGTGGGACGTGTCTAGGGCTCCTGAGTTTCCGTACGACGCTATTGCTGGCTGAAAATAAAAAATTGGCGAATTTATTTAATCGGGGGATGAGGGGATAGAAATTTTACCTGTAGCTGAGTGGAGTCCCACTCTAGCCATTTATTCTCGAGATCTTGCTCATTTCCTGGGAGAAGATATTGCAGTGCGGCGTTGGAACTTATCAAGGTTATTCCAGTGGGCAATTGAAGAGTTGGCAAACGACTGAGGGTACTCTCTAAATATTGATAGGTATTTTTTAATTTAGAATTTTCTAGTGAGTGCGCAGTTTATGGTGCATTTGCAGGGAAATTAATTTAATCTGGATGATGAAACAAAGTGCTGAGGTTAAACCGCTTACCATTAGTCGTGATTATTCTTATCTCAACTGAATTACCACTTATTTCACCACCAATTACCAATTTGAGGGCATTCGGATTATTTTTGTTAGTCGATAGAATCATTTTTCATTGATTTTTAATAAATAGTTTGAATAAATATGGGAAAAATATGCTAAGAGCACAACCGACACATGTGAGCGACAAATGCAAGGAAGGGGTCGAGGATAGGTATGACGTGAAATGTAGTGTGCGTCGATTATCTACAGTGTGCGCATGAAATTCCCTCAATTTTTTTGAAATTATCAATCTGAAAATTTTCATCTTCGAATTCAGTACGTTGGCATGAAAATTGAATGTTATCACGGAATATATTCATCAGTAATTAATAGATGACGCACAAAAAGGAATTTTTACGTGGTTTTAAGGCCTGGGAAATTATATATTTGCCTTATTTATTCATCTCTATTTATCGATTAAATTGGATTTTTAAGTGGAATTGGAGAATTCGTATGTGAGGGGGTGATTTATTCTTCCTATCAACAATGTCGCTTTATAACAAGCGACTGATTTTATATTTTCATTGTTCCGGGATCCCCCGCTCTTCTGATTATCTCGGGTTGGAAAAATTTAGACGCCATCACGATTCATTGAGGTCTGTGAATGACTTGTAATTTGACTCTTTGAGAGAGTTTCGGGAAGGGTGGAGTAAATTTTGGGGCTGAATCATGGATTCATTCAGGATTTTTCGGGTTTTGTTTCTGGCAACAGTGATTTATGGAAAAAATATTGTTGTAGTGCTCGTTGATGACTTAGATCTGACTCTCGACGGGATGGCAAGTTATATTTCGTATAAATTAATTGTCGCGACATTTTGGATTCTATGAATTAATTTATCTTCATTAATTTTTTTGCAATAGCAACCCTTGATGAATGCTCAGAATTTGATTGGAAAACAGGGGGCGACGTATAAAAATTGCGTAAGTGGCTAGAAAAAAAATAGATTGATTTCTCCATTGGCAAATTGTTTCTCGATGATTATCAATAATTAATTGTCGTTAAGTTCGTTGCTTCGCCCATTTGTTGTCCAAATCGGGCATCAATCTTGACTGGAAGGTATCAACACAATCATCATACCGTGAATAATTCAATCTCCGGGGGTTGCAGTAGCAAGCAGTGGCAGAGTAATTCTGAAAAGACAACTTTTGCCACAATTTTGAAAGATAAGATGGGCTACACCACTTTTTACGCTGGAAAATATCTGAATGAAGTTAGTGGTCGTTGATAAATATTTATCATTCAGATATTTGAGGGAATCTCGGGGGAATAATAATTCTATTCGTTGTAGTATGGGTCGAGAGCAGCTGGTGGAGCTCAGTATGTGCCTCCAGGGTGGGACTGGTGGTATGGACTCGTAGGAAATTCCAAGTATTACGACTATTCTCTCTCAATCAATGGATCTGCGAAGACATATGGGCACTCCCCTAATGACTACCTCACTGATGTCATCGTGAGAGATATCACTTGAATTTCCTTGTAGCGAAGTTCTTCTCGAAATAATTGACTCTTTTTTCAGAAACAATTCGCTGTGACGTTTATTAATGGTAGAAATAGTAATTCAGGACCTTTTCTCATGGTACTCGCTCCACCAGCTCCTCATGAGCCTTGGACTCCAGCAGCGAGACATAATGATAGATATAAAAATCAGAAGGCTAAACGAACCCCCAATTTCAATTCTCCATCGCAGGATGTAAGCTTCAGCTTATTTATTTCTTTTCTTTGGGAAGTTGATTATTATTTTTTTTTGCAATTGAAAAATCAGGATAAGCATTGGTTGGTTAGGATGGGACAGTCTCCACTGCCTTCTAGTGTTCTCCCCAGTTTGGATGATATCTACAGAAAACGTTGGGAGACTTTGCTGGCTGTTGATGATCTTATTTCATCGGTTTATACTTCCTTGAGGAATAGTCGTCTTCTGGATAATACTTATTTAATATTCACCTCTGATAATGGCTATCACATTGGTAAATACTCTCGATATTTATCATATTTATCATGATATTTCGTTAAATTTATTTCTGAGAGATTTGTGATGGAAAATTAATGGTTCAGGTCAGTTTAGCATGCCGATGGACAAAAGGCAGCCCTATGAAACCGATATTAGGGTACCTTTATTGATTCGAGGTCCAGGGATTACTCCAGGGAGTGAAGTTAATGCTCCAGTGAGCAGTGTTGATTTGTTCTCAACGATTTTAGGAATGGGAGGTGTTGAGGCGGTTTCGGATGGAATCTCGATGCTCAGTAAAAATATATCGGATGATCGAAGTGTTCTGATTGAATACAGGGGGGAACATTCAGAAAGAATGCCTAGAAGCGGATGTCCCAGTGATGACGATCTTAATTTATCCGTGAGTTTAATTAGTCTTTGAATTTTCCTGAGGATCTAGGAGTCTTTGAAAATTGTTTTTTTTTTGGTGTCGATAGCATTGTTCTAAAGATATGGCTTGCAAGTGTCAGGACGCGAGGAACAATACCTATGCCTGCGTTCGCAGGTACTCCAAAGATCATAACAATATCTTCTGCATTTTTGAGGATGACAGTGTGAGTTTTTTTTAGTCCACCTTCTGCTGGAGGAATTTGAAGATATATTTTTTGAGGGCACTGTTGTATTTTTTTTTAACTGTTTTAGAAATATATCGAAGCATATGATCTCAATGCTGATGAATTCCAAATGAGTAATATTGGATACACTATGAAAAAGGGGAAGAGACACCGATTTAGGAAGCGATTGAGGGAATTGATTGAGTGTGAAGGGGCTGATTGTGTTCGTGCACAACCCATGAGAGCTATCTGATATTGCAGACTAATATTTTTACGTATTTTACTCTGATGTGGGCTTTTTTAACGTTTTAATATCACTTACTGGTTAAATATATGAATAATCAACGGTTAGTTGATGGGAAAAATTGGATTTTACAGACAAGTCACTTTCCTCTCCGAAAAGTCATAGATTTGCCCTCGGCTGGGGGTGAAAATGCTTTTTATCGCATCGATCGGATAAAAACGCGTTTTCGGCCACAATGACATAAAATAGCATCATAGCCACGGCGAAAAAAGTGATTCTGACTTATGCGCGTTATAATCCTCGTTTCCGACTCGGACTATAAAGTCGCATTCGTCAGATTCCCTTTTTCCGTCCTAGGCGTGAAAAATACTATTTCTTCTTCTTTATTTTCATATCTTTCTTTTATGTGGAGAAATCAGGGAGATTTGTGATCCCCTGTCCTTTTTTTGTGCCAGAAATCGATTTTTTCGTTTTTTGCGTTTTTCTCGAATTACCGACACTTTTGGGCTTGCGATCTGTTTGACTTACAGGTACGGCCGCAGTTTTAGTACCATAGCCGCAGCTACTAAAGTTTTCGGTTGAACCGTTGCCATTGGCGTTAGCAATCTATTCTATAATCTCTGCTCCGTCGATTGTTGTGGACTGGTTGTTACGATCGGAATAAGAGAAATCTGCCGAGTACATTCTTCGAAGTAATCCCTTCCCCTCTATATTGTGACAGTATCACGGGTTTATCCCTACTATTTCTCATTTTCCCGCGTATTCTGTCAATCTAGTGATCACTATTAGTGTATTCATCGCTGATAAACACAAATGTCAGGTTTTTACGCGATATCATCGACATAATATCAAAAATTACGTACCACTGGTGGGTGTATCTTGTTTGTACATTGAATTACTCCATTTTTATTTCGACTCATAAAATTGCTAATAGTCGAGAGGTTATGGTGGATACACAACGACTTGTGGAATTCATGTGGTGTTGAATTGTGATTTAACCAGAGAAGAACAGACACAATATTGGGATTCACGAGAATCAGTAAGTTGAAAATTCATTATTCACTGATTGTTTTCAATCAGTGAATATTTATTAAAGTGGAGACGGATAAATGGCGCTTTTTTTGGTCTGAGACACTTTCTCTGATTTTTTTTTCTTTTAGTTTCTGAGATGAAAGTCATGGACGTGGCGATGGACACAGTTGATGAGTCCGTTCCAAAACAAAAAAAACTTAAACAAGGTACATTTATTATGTCAATTTATAATTGGACAGCAATTTTCTATTCTTCTGTGATTCTCAAGTGCTCTGAATTGTTTCCATTGAATAATTTATTTCAGCTCGATTGCCATTTCAAATGCTTACCTCGCCCCTCTCTAACACATCGTCAACAAAAAAGCGAAAGCTCTCGTCGCCCTCACCCACGAATTACAAGAGTCCAAAGGTCTCGAAACTTGATAAAAAAGAGAATAGCTCCAAATCACCAGAAACTATAGAGATAGATGTAAAATCTGATAGAGAGGATAATGAGTTAAGCATCGATGTATCAGGTTCTCCGGACACAGTGTCAGGTTCTAAGGACAAGAGGATTGAACCCAAGCACTCGATGAAACCAGGAGCCCTGACAAGGCTCTTGAAGAAAGTGGCAGCAGCAGCAAGTCCGCCAAAACTCACTCCAGTGATTATACTCGATAAATGTGACGATAAACTTTTGGAGAAGTCACTGGCGTCTGTTGCAGTGACATCTAGCCCTGGACAATCCACAAAAAATGATGAGTCGAGTAATGATACCCTGGCTGAGCCTCTCCCCACGTCTGAGGATGATGATGATGACAACAGCAAGGAGAAGAGTCACAATTCAGAGTCAGATACTGAGACTTCATCATCAGAGGACGATAAAAAGTCGAATGATGAGAAGAATTCCTCTGATAATTTATCAAAAACTCCAACTCAAAGCAAGACTGGCGATATTCCTCTCAAGAAGAGAAGACTAACTCCGAAGCAGATAGAGAAACGACTGGAGAGTGCTAAGAAAAAGGAGGAGCGTTTGAAGGCGAAGACGGAGAGGGAACTCCAGAGGAATGAGGAGAGAATAAAACGGAGGAAAGAACAGGAGGAGAAAAAAATAGCGAGGAAAGCCAAGGAGGAGGCGGAAAAGGAGGTTAAGAGAAAAGAGAAGGAGCAGAAAGAGTTGAAGAAGCAGTTGGAGATTGAGCAGAGGCAGAAGGAAAAGGAGCGAAAGGAGAGGGCCAAGGAGGAGGAGAAAATGAAGAAGGAGGAGGAGAGGCTTGAGGCTGAGCGTAAGAAGCAAAAGGCTGCGTCGACATTCGCTAGTTTTTTCGTTGCCAAGAAGCTGGAGAATAGCAAGGCCATCGATGAGGAAAAAATTGTTGATATGGTTAGCAATTTCATGCCTTTTCAAATTAGAAAGGACATGAAAGTTGCACCCATCTGCAGGCGGTCCATTGGGAGTGAGGATAAAACAGCTGTTGATGAGTGTCTCAGGGATCATGAGGAAATTAATGAGCTCTATATTCAGGAGATTAAGAAGATGGGCTGGAGGGCGAGGACCTCTGGTAAGACCTGGCCAGCTGACGATGTGGCTAAGGACGATATTGTGATTGTTGAGGAGGAGGATGGAGACTCGAGCATTGTTAATGAGCCTCAGAGGAGTGAAAAGTATCGAGCTAAATTATTGCTGTTCAAGGAAAACAGGAGGCCCCCCTATTGGGGCACTTGGAGAAAAAAGAGTTGTATTATTAATCCCAGGAGACCCTTCACCAAGGACACTGTGAGTTATTTATCTTCTTGGTTTTTAGAAATTTTTATTTGGTATTCAATTCGCTTGATTATCTAACTGCCTCGTGAAGTGATTCGTTGGGAATATCCGAAACAAATGACATTTCTGGTTTTAGGCATTCCATCAGAAAAATAATATTTTTATTATTGAATGATTGGAAAAGCCCTATTTTTGGAGATTCTTACTCGTTTTTTTTTTATTAATTACTGATACGTATAGGAAAGCTGTCATTTTATCTAGATTATTCTGATTTAAACTTCAGATTGAGCTACGCCTCTGGAAAAATTCTTTTTCATACTGTTTGTTGTTTGAATTCTTTGGCAAATTGTAGATTGATTCTATTAGTTGAGTGGGTGAATTATAACTCGGTGATGATGTTCGTTTTTCCACTGAAGCTACCGCGATTCTCTTGGATCATCGAATAGGCATTTTTTCGGTGAACCTTTCGGTGTTTGGCGAGGTGATCGCTTCTGGCGAACCTCTTGCTGCATAGTTCACAGGGATAGGGTTTTACACCCGAGTGAGATCGTCGGTGTCGAGCTAATTCGTCAGATCTGCTGAAACGCCAACCGCAACCTGTCCAGGTACAGGCGAATGGTTTTTCCCCTGTGTGGCGACGGAGGTGGGCTTTGAGGTGCGAAGCTTTGGCGTATACCTGAAAATTGGATAAAATTTTCTTCTCGAGTTGTTCACAGTTTAAAATATATTCATTCATTGATGATTACCTTGACACAACCCTGGTAGGTGCAGGGAAAGCATCGATCCTCGGTAACAGCAGTTTCCACACTGCGATTAGTGTAATCGTGGGTAGCAAGGGCAGCATCTGCATTGTTGCTCAAGAAATCATCACCAACTCTGTTATTATTGAAGTCCATGTTGAGAGTGCTCTCTAGAGATCTCAAATCGATTCCCAGAACGAGAAGGGGCTCGTCAGGTTGAAAACACTGAGGGGATTGCTGTGGCTGGACCACTGGCAGATGTAGAAATCTTTCACATCCTGGTGTGCACATTGGTGTCCTCTCTGGCAGGCCTGAGCTCCAGACCTTATCTAAACACCAGTCGAGCTCTGAGTTTAAATCACCTAGGTCACTTAGACAATCAGTTACATTGGCTGATGCCCAATCACTCCAGGGTACCTCCGGGGAGTACGTTAAATCCGTGTAGCACTCGATTGAATCCACTGATGGCGATTGAATTTCCATTTCTGAATTTTCACTCTGGGGGGTGCATGCTGCCTCGTAATCGATGGGTAGGGATAGGGGATTGTATGATGATGACATCTCGGTGCCGTCTGTGTTAAAGCCCAGGACTGAGAACAATAGTTCGTCGGTCATTTCCTAGAAGTGAAATGTTTAATGAGGATTTGATTTTTTTTTTGTTTCCATTTTTCTAGCGGAAAAAAATGGTAGATGACAGTTTATGTTGTCGATGATTATCAATTTCTTCTCGAACAATTGAATCTCTTCATGAGTCGAGGTAAGACACACCTAGGAGATTCTTATCACCTCGAAAACGCAATTTCAATTTCATCCATTGACGTTTCAATCAAGTTACACGCGAAAACAAAAGGAATTGATGGGGCATTACACGCGACTCTGACGTGAGAAAAATAAAATAAAGGATTGATATTTTTTTTTTTAATGTTCGGAATAACGTGTCTGCAGCGTCATCCCCACGTTGTCATGTTCCATGTCTCGGAAGAGACGAGTCGTCGAATTGAGACATTACAAACGCAAACGAGTACACGGTATGCAAATAGGTGACTGTCGAATATTCCCGGTTGATTTCCACTTTATTCTTCATTTTTATCGCACCCCCATGACCCTCGAGACGTTTCTCGTGGTTGGAGAAAAAAAAGAGAGAAAAAATTTTTAATGCGAATGAGCTGATGATAAATCACGGGCATTATCCGCATTACGTTAATCACATTTATTGAATCATTTAAAAGTCGTTATGACCTTCGGTGAATTTTTACTCACGTCGATGATGGCTGAGTCGTCAATCATAGTTCCAGCATCAATTATTTAACGGTATCAATCAGGGAATGTATCGGTAGGAGCGGGAAGTGCCTTCACAACTGGAAGTATCTCGATATATTCGATGATATCTGAAGATTTCCGATGATTTATAATTAGATTCTGTGATAAACTCCGACTTGAGATCAATTTTCAATGCCGATGTGACACCCTCGACTGTCAATCCGGAACTACTCCACGAGTCGGGCAAAAATGCTAGAGGTAGTGAAAACAAGAGTAACAGATAAAAAAATCTGTCTCTCTTTTTTTTCCTCTCTATCTCTCTCTTTTTCCCTTTTTTTTTCTCTCACGAGTGCGTGGCGCTTTGAGAGTTGACCGGGTGATACGTAAATGGAGTCTGGCTGGGGATCGGAGTATGACAACGACGTGCCGAGATATCGAGACTCTGTGCCAACCGGTGATGGTACTGTGTCGATCCCCAGGGATTCTGATTAGAATTAAAAAAGAAAATAGCTGGGAGATAGTCGTTACTCCTTTGAGTCCTCATATTCAACAATGTCATATTGTTATTTATTTATTTTGACAAGTACCAGTGGGAAAATAGTGGTGTTGTTGGAGGAAACGTGGGATGAATTCTCCGGCATTAGAAATCGCAGTTATTCTCGTTGGAGAGGGTGGGTGGCCGCATTGTCCGGAGATTTTGGGTATCGATTAATGAATTATCGCACTATTCGTACTCGAGGATTCAACGAAATGGTGGAGGTATTCCAGATAATCAGGATGTGAACGCACGTGTCTGAGTTGATTTCGTAGCTAGGATGTAACATACATTGTTTTCGTGTTTCAGAATCGATTGATTCATTCTTCCCATTGTGATTATTTCGGTATCTCGTGGCAGTCATGGATTTTCCAGTTATGCCTGATTTTTTTTTTTTTTTATTTATCTCTGTGGCGTCATTTTGAAATACTCGTCATTGATTAGGGGAATAATTATATGAGATTGATGGATTAATTGAGACGATTTTGATATTGATAAATGGTGTCGTATTACTTCGGATGATGAAAAATTGGGAGATGAATTTAAAGCGGACAATCGTTTTTAGGATGAGTATGAGGATGGACTTAGGTTTAATCGCGTGCCTATGGAACGCATGAGCGTCTGTAATCTTAACGGAGCGTAAAACAGACCATTACAGATGGCCCACCATCTCTTCTGCAGTGACAACAGCATTTTAATTATTTCCTCGTCACCTTGTGTTTATCGAACTTCTGTTTTTCTTCATTTCAACGGATAATAATCTGTTTTTTTTTGGGGATGGCGAATGTCTGGGGATAGTCCTGTTGAAGTCAGCGATAAGATAAAATGTAGAGATATAGTGACGGTGCTTTTTGGGACAAATTTCGTCGGTTGGAAATTCCTCGATGGAATCTCAATTTCTTCTTGCTTTTCTATTGTGGTGTTGTTGAATTTTGAATATAATTTCCGGGGTGATTAATCGACTCGATCGATTTCTTATGTTGAATAATTAATTTATGTTACTCACATAAATGCTGCCGCAAGCTGCACCTCGATCTACCAACTCAGTATTCTATCAATACTCAATCCTCGAAGAGGAAACAAAAATTTTTTAATAAACGCAAGAGCGACGTTCCAGGCGGTCATATCGATCACTGGCACTCTGTCGATAATAAATTAATGTCTTGGCGTGTGGTATTGTAATTGATGTCTGGGCGCAGATGAAATAGACGTTGATGCATGAGACAATAACTTTATGGTCAAGTGAGCATGAAAAAGTTAATAAATACCATGCGATTTGTTTTATTATTGTCATTAGTTGGTTGGTGAGAGAGTGATCGAAATTTTGGAAAATATATCGAATTATCGTATTCACTTATCGGTCATGGAATTTGTCGCAAATTTTTATTTAGTGGTTTTGTAAATTTATTGAACTGTGAATTTGAAAGTGAGCTTGAGACTAGCTGACAAAACCGACGTGACTGGTGTCGATAGCTTTGAAAAATTCAAGTTTGTACTTGTGGAAAGTACCATGCACTCGAGATATCGCTCTCCAAGGAAGTGTCGCCTGATATCAACGTCCTGTCTATTCATTGCGCTCCGTACGGTTTTATGAATGAATTGGTTTTATCACGTTAGGAATTTTTGTCAGTGAATCGCTTGTTTTTTTTCGCATGTAGATCTTTTATTATTTATCTTTGGCAGAAATGGTTTGACTACGAGGTTGACTCGGATGAAGAGTGGGAGGAGGAAGAGCCTGGGGAATCGCTCAGGGGCTCGGACGATGAGAAAGACGAGGAGAATCCGGATGACAATGAATATGATGTTGATAATGAATTCATGGTGCCTCATGGCTATCTCTCGGACGAGGAGGGACAGGGCGATGAGGAGGACGAGGAGGAAGTGGTGAGGAATAGCATATGCCTTGAAGAATATCTATTGTTTTTAATTATCGGCGAATTGTTGGGATTGTAATAATGAATTTCACAGCCTCCAGAGCTTCAAAAAGACAAACTCAAAATTCTTGAAGAGGAGTTTGAAGCAGAAATGAAGACAAAAACCTCGAGGATAAAGCCTAAAGTTGTTGGATGCGTCTGGCAAGGGCTTATCAATTCTTATCCGGAGAACAGTGAGTACACGAGTTAATTCTTGAAATATCAAAGTATTCATCAATTAATTTTCAGCTCCTGCACATATCATGAATTATTTGATGGCACGTCAGGCCTGGGTGAAGACTACTCCAATAGCCTTGATTCCACCGGTAGAGTCTGAGGCTCTTGCTCCGGATAATATTCACAAGAAGAATCTCCCTGAAGAAGCTGTGCCCGATCTGATTCGACTGATTCACGGAAATATTCATGGCCGGCCATTTCTGGTGAAAGAATTTATGACGTACTGGCAAAAAAATCGAGGCGAGCTCGACATATCATTCACAAAAGCCAGTGTTGGTCGCAAGATCAAGGAACTGTCGAAGAGAATTCCCTGCCCCGACGAGGGCCCAATGCACCTCAAGACCTGCTGGTACGTCACCGAGGAGATCCGCAGAAAATATACCCTGGATGATCTCTCAATTCCGAATCAGTGGAGGTATTCTCTCACTCCCAAGAGGAAGACGTTGACAGAGGCACCAGTGATCGATAAAAGTGATAAAGAGGGAAAGGAAAAATTGAGGGATGGAGAGCAGAAGAAGTCTGCTCCCCTCATCACAATGTTCACTAAAAAAATAACACCAGAGGAGATGCATAAGCAGCTCCAGGTGAAGCCCTCAGTGAGTTCGAAGCAAGGAAATCCTCTGAACAGGCCACCAAAACGAGCAACCCTCATCTCTGTACCCAGGGTGGAGGTTGTACCTTCTATTTTGACAGCTTTTTCCAAGATCAATGGGAGGCAGTCATTGGGAAAGGCTGAAGAGCCCATCACAATATCAGATGACGAGAGCAGCGGGGAAAATAGTGCTGGCAATTTAAAAGGTGATGGGAGTGAGAGGAAAATTATTTCGGACAGTCCGGAGAACCAAGAGGAAATAGTGGAGATTAAAAAATAGGACTTACTCGTACAATTCAGAGACTATACGACAGAACGAGCCTATTATTTTTTTTTCTATTTTTTTTAAAGATATCTTGATACTGGAAGCCCTCGGAGAAGATACATAAGAAAGTATTTTTAGTAATCGATGAATTTCGTGTTGAAGTCTCACCTGAAAATTGTGGGATCTCAGTGCATTGCATTGCGTGTGAGCTTGCAATTGAACTAGAGACTTGATCCCCCCCCCATTTTGGTACGGGGGCAGGCCATCGGTGGGAATCAATGCGATTATTATCGTATCTCCCTCTGGAGTAATCGAGTAATAAATCGCAAAACTTGGGCAACTCGATGTTTTCTCTTTGAGTTGTTTGGGTTTTATCTTCATATTTTTATTTAGCTCCGCGTCAATGCAACTGATTGGTGGAGAATCAATCCTTGCATACGGTTATTGTAGGACTCACTGAATTTATATCGTATGTTATTCGTTGAAAAATTTTGGACACTAGAATATCACTCGTAAGTCTCAGTATCTTGTCGACGTTTATATTCAATGTTTCATTCGATATTTCATATATTATAGATCCTTATTGCTCGGGCTGATTAATCCTCGTCAAGTGCCTTCAATATTTTTCACGGCCTTTTGTGATACTCTTTATTTTGAAAATTATCTGCCTTACGTTGAATAGAATATGTATTTAATGAGTAATTAATGTTGTCCATTTTTTGATAATTAGTATTTAATAAAGAACATGGTGAGGAATTGGTGGAATTTTTGGGATTGAATTTTTGAGGGGATTCTGTCGTTGTGGATTGAGTGTTGTTGCTCCTCGGGGAACGTTGCACTCTTGGCTAGTGACTTGAGGCATTCTTTGAGTTTAATTGATCGTGAAGGTCCACGCTGAGGGGTTACACTCGGTAGTTATTACTATTTCGTAGAACAAGATGAGTATTCAATTGCTCTGTCACAATGACATGACATTTGTTTATGTTATTTGGGTCGACTGGAGGATTTGAATTTTAGTTGAATGTTGAGTTGAGATATGTGAGAGGAGAAATGGCAGGGAATATATTTTTTTTTGAGTCTCTCTTGGCGTCGCCTTCGCGAATGCACCTAAGGATGGCTCAAGTGCCAGAGAGAAAGAGCTAAGTAGAGTACGCTCAAGTAGTTGGAGGGTATCTATGTACAAGACGAGTACACTATATATTTGCGAATGGTGGATGTATGTAGGATGGTGTGAGGTAGCCAATAGCGTTGCTCGAACGGTTTTACCTCCTGGTATTGAACGTCTCTTACAGTCCGGATATTCATCTCCTTTTATCCTGTCGCTTTGGATCTTTTCGTGGATTTTTTTGATAGGCTTTTTGGGAGACTTCATTAAATAATTAATGTAGAAATCATTAACATGCGACTAGATTCCGCTGAGATTGAACGATAATGGAGAATATTCACTCGGAAATTATTTCATATTGCTATATTCTCTTTCTATTTCTTATCCCAGGTATTTTCTCAGAGGGTGACCCTTCGATCACCATCTCATCGAATACATTTCGAATTTATAAATTTATGGATAAGTTTCATCAGCCTCCAGCTGTTGGATCTTATGCTAATCGACCACCCCCGAGTCTAAACTCCTTCATATACGGGAGTAGAAAAAAAAAATGTTGCTCGTTACACGAACGCCGCTTCCATAAATCTCTTCCACCTAAAGCTTAATCTGTTCGCCGACCCTACCGTGCGCGTCATATGCCCTCAGAGTTTTTTTTTTCCACTGTATTTTCTCCACCCACGGGTGGGCGGGGGAGGAGTGGAAAAACTGATGGAAAATGTGCGCCAACGGCAGGTGTGTGAATTTTCATAATTTCTGAGGAGTTGAGCCTGGAAAATTCTCATTTCCAGATGAGACTCTTCTCTGACTAATTCTAACAAATAATACACCACAAACGTTTAACATAATAATTTCTTTAATTCATCATATTTGATATTAATTAATTAATTACAGTGATCATGGTAAATGATTAAATAGAAGTTTGGGGTAGCGTGGAGATTTTTTTAGGGGAATTGGCAATTGAGAGGGAAAAATGCGTGAGAAAGTAGTGAAGGGCCTGCAGAAGTGCTCGGAAGTTGCGTGAAATACCGAAAATGTAGATATTATGGTGGATATTTGGGGGGCCCTTGACGATCGTCGGTGAAGGGACACTTGTGTGATATTTTTTTTACGATTGGGGGTCGTCTCTCATCCCTTTTAGCCTCTCCTGGTTTTTGCACGCTATATCCGTGACACGCCATTGGCCCGATGTATCCTTGTAGGATTTCGCTTTGTTTTTTTTTTCTTTTTTATTTTATCCTACTCCATTTGTTTTATTTTCCACAAGAAAATTACCGATGAATCCTTCCACCAACTCCTGTCAGCAGAGATTGTGGCCTCTAAGGTTTATATATGTGTGCGTTTCACAAGGGGCGCACGGAATTCTTCCTGGCGTGAGAACCAGGTGGTGTAGATAAATATATGAGACTATAGAATTTTAGAATTTGTTTATTGGTCTATTGGAGATTTAATTTCAATGTCGAGGTAATTTTTTCATCTTTTTAAAATCATGATTATCTTGAATTTCGCGATTTCGCGATTCAAAAAATTTTTAGGGACTTGGGTGTTTTAAAAAAATCAATGACAATTTAATTTCACGATTGAATTAAATTTTTAATAAATCATAAGTTGAAATATAAATAAATAATCACTTTGTGGTATTCCAGTGAAAATATACCTCGATATTGGAGTTGATTTGTCCAATTAATAGGTAAATTCTCGGGTTCTGAGTCGTTGGACATTTCACTGGAGACTCCTTGCCGTGAGGTTTATGTCCATGAGTTGGTTATAAGTACAACACGTTATATACAATGCAGATGTGGCGTATGGGAAGGCCGGAGGCGTGGGGGCCATTATGGAGATGGATCTTCCTCGGAATAAAGGCACAAGGAGGTAGACGAGGTAAAGGGAGACGAAGGGTAGTTTCAAGTGCATGATAGTGGGATACCAACGATAGCTGAGAGAGAGAGAGAGGAATGGGGGATGAAGGGGGAGTTTGGGCTGGTAGTTTGTGGTAATATATCACCCCCTTGTCGTCTGTGAGACGCGAGGAAGCCTGTCGGCCAGTGCCCACCTCTGTGGCTGTCTTCCTTCCTTCCTTCGTCGGCCATCCCCTCGAACTACCACCACCATCAACCCTCCCGGAGAGACCACTCGCCTATAGGTTACTCCAATCGATATCGTTGGGGCGTGAGAATATACTGTGGTTTATACCGACTGTCTTACTCTTAACCATCGTCTTGAGATCAGTTGCTAAAAAAAAATTTTTTCTCATCCCCACGTCATTCGTTTTTCCAAACCAACTCACTAAAATTGTGTCTGAGGTTAATTCACTTTAGAGTGTATCAGTTGTCAATTTATTCATTGACTTTTTGCCAATTTTTTCACAGGGATTGAGAGATGAGTTGAATTTTCATTCGATGGAGTATCGATTGATGTTGGAAATAGGGGGTTTGGGTGGGAATTTTATTTTGATGATTTTAGTTTAATTCGGAGAGGGATGGAGTGAATTGGATCTGTTTTGTTGTTCTGATGGGGAATTTTTGAGAGTTGGCTGGCGGGTTGATCTTTGGATAGAAGGAATATCCTGGTACCGTAGAAGAAAGAGGAGGGCTAGGTAGGAGTGCGGATCGATGTGTCGCGGTTGTCCAGTGGAGTCTTCTTCTGGCGCTTGCGCTATTCCCGAGGTTTTCTAGTCTCTGTCCTCCGGGTCGACGCTGATTCGTTGGGGGAGGGGAATTTTTTTTTTTTTTTTGTCACCCAGGTTGATCGTCTTGCTGTGGTAATTTGAGGGGTAAAAATTTCACTGATAGATTGAAATAATTTTTGAGTATTTGGAATAATTTGGTATCGGTGATTGCGGGGGTGGGTGTTGGGGGTGGTTGAAGGGTAGGTGCTTGAATTGGTGAGTGGTTTGACAGAATGGGGACAGTTTGGTTGTTACGCCCACGATAAACCCCTGGTGAATAGCGGGTGGGGCTGGGCGTTAGTTCCAGCCAAGGGCGACACGAGTCTAAAAGTGAGAAAGAGAGATGGCAAGTTGTCTCTGTTGAAAACGGGAATGTCGTTGGCACAGCGGGGGACACTGCCGATTGGCTGTTGACGGGGACAGAGGCGTGGTTATCCACCATGGTGAGTCTCGATAATTGGCTGACTGTTGCGACAGACGTGTTTACCGGTGGAAAGTTTCAACCGCAAATACACACGTCAGCTCTAATTTTCCGTCATTTTTTCCAAATTTCATTCAATTTTTTTTCATGTCGTTTTTTTTTCATCGATAATTTTACATTTTAATTTAAAAAAATTTCTCGAGTTCTATCGTTACTTCAATGGGTAATTGATGAATTTATTTCTTGTTTTATCGAGACGATAATAGGATTATTATTTGGAGGTGATAAAATAGAATTTCAACAAATTTTCGTGATGAATGACAAGTTCAGTGAATCGTTGGAATTTGATAGTAGAGATTTGGTGATGGGATGATGGAAAAAATGTGTAGTCTAGTTGAAGGATAGGAATGGTATGCATTGATAAAAGGGAAGTGAGAAATGGGGAGGAGCTGAAAATACTCTCACGGGGAGGTTGTTGTAGTGGTGTTAGGGGGGCCCTGTCGTGTTGGAGGATAATTGGGACAACGTGTATTATCGGTTGCGTGCCATACGCGGGGTGCAGTGTGTGATTGGATAGGCGGAGATGGGTCGTCCAAGATATCTGACCCTATACCACAAGTTGAATGGTATACCGAGGTGGGAGCCACGATGATGATGAGGGGTAGAGAGGTGGAAATTCTCGGGTTATATCTTGTAGGACCATCTTCTTTCCATCTGCAGCCAGCGTTACCTATCTACGTCATGGTCTTGATGCATGGCGTGGGCGTTTCTCAGTTTCGTATATCCAGAGGTTCTCATTTAATTATAGTACACCTGGGATATGTGGACGCACAAATGCTAAAAATCTCTCCACCTTTCCACCTATTTTCTACCTTGAAATCATCTATTGGCATTTTTAGCTGTCGATCTGGGGGTACGAGTCATTATTTTTTTCGGGATCGAGTCGTCTATTTATTTTTCTTCGTCATTGTTTTAATTGTTGGTGAACATCTTTCTGGATATTTTTATACAGAATTTCAGCGGTTATTTTTTATGGGTATTACACGTTGTAGTTGAAATTGTTCATCAGATAATAATCGGCACTCGTCATGAAAGTTTATACGTTATGGAGGTAGATATAGCATGCATTTGTCCAAACTTGGGGGCTTCACATATATGGATATACCATATGTATTTTCAGTGTGTATTGTAAAGGGGATGGTAGAGGGTGGTCCAAACCACGAGTCCTCATTAAAGCGTTATTAATGGCCTCACCAGCCGCGTATTAATGACAAACGAAATTTGCCCCTTCGAACGTCACGAGATATTCCCCTTTATCGTTATAATTCTGGTGTAATCTCGTGGGTGAAATGAAAATGGGATATTATTCGATATTTTGAGATATATATATTTTTTTTTCATCCCGGGGCAACTTGAATTTATTGCGCGTCTTTTCATGTCAATAAATGTTGAGGATCTTATTACACCGCCTGAAGACACTAGGTGATCTCTAATTGACCTCGCAATCTCGCTAAAGATATCCCCTGTGTGGTCCATTCCGTCATTAGACATTTCAGTATTCAAGATGAATGGAAAAAAGAAAAAAAAAAGAGGGAGAACGAGCTGGGGCGAATAAAATCGGTTGGGTATTTTCCAAGGCTCGGTTGTTTTAATATTGCTCCTCATTGTTAGGTGAAATTATGGGAAAAAGCAATGAGAATTGCCCTCAGGCGAGAGAAGCGAAATTCATTCTAATCTCTAACAATATAAGCTCCTTCGACATAACTCGCTGATATCCACTTCCGGTTTTTCCCTTTTTGTTTTTTTTTGTTTTTGTTTTTTGTTTTTTTTTCTTTTTTTTCAAGCAATTACTTTGCCCTGTGGAATGGGGGGGATAAGATGGACAGAATTTTTTCTTCAACTCCTTTTTTTTTAACGCAATCCGGAGAAATACGAAAAAGGCACCTGTGCGCGGTACTAGGTTCATTTAAGAACTTAACAATATATTACTGAGACTCCAGGTGAGAGAGAGGTAGAAACTCTAATCGTGTGTATAGCGTGTGATTATTTTTTACGGCCTTTCTTTGGTGGGATGGGGAGAGGCACAGAGTAATTTGGCGTTTAACCGATATAAACGTTTTGTCTGTGATCGTCCGGGACGCATCTATAATCTCCCATGGAGGCAATTCACGACACATGCAATCCACCGGGCCAGGTTTAGCTTTTTTGGGAGAGGAGAAAATGCAGCTGCCGTGCCAGGAACTATTCCCCAAACAAAAAATTCAACACAAAAAAAATAATAAATCAGGAGGATAGGATAAAATAATTGGGTTGAGTGTTTGAAATTTTTCAATGGGACTTAAAATTTTTCAACTTTTATGAATGAATAGGGTGTTATATATATTTTCTCATGTCAATATCTATAATTGAATATTTAAAAAATTCCAATTAGTTGTTTCAAAGAAATTAATTGACACATGCGCGATTATTCGTTAATTTCACTTGTCAGTATCAGAACGATAATTTTTAATGTTGCAAAATTTATTTATCACTATCGGTTGAAATGTGATTGAATGAATATTTGAGGATGGAGTTGAATAATTTGAAAATAAGATTCGGGACATTTTCAATGCGTTTATCCGCGGTGAAAGCGTGTATGTTGGGGGTCCAGATAAATACAGTATGAATTGAAGGTACGAGAGTAGAAGAGGGAGGGGTTGATGCCACGTGAGAGCCCCAGAGGTTACTTTTAATGTTTCGCGTCACGCAGCCCAAGGCGGGAGTATAGGATATGTGGAGAAAAGAGTAGTTACAACGATGTATGTATAATATGTGAGCGAGGGAGATGGGATTTGAGAAGGGCTCCGCCTCGTCCTCCTCACTAATTTGGCGCCAATTTTCAACGAACCGGGCAAAAACTTACCGAACCATATACCTTCTGTATCGCGAGAGTACCATACAACCTGGGCACTGATTAAATGCTACTCGGAACGCTATAAACGTAAAGAGAGACGTTTTTCCCACACTCTTGGAAGGCTTGGAGTGCTCGACAGTGCCACCACGCCAAAGAAAAGAGATAAATATTATTTTGAAAAATCCGAGATGGAGAATAAAGATTGATAGAGAAAAAAAAATGAAAAAAATGATGCGGTTATTTGATAAGGCACGCTGGAAGCCCTGGCAATGGCTCAATGGCTCAATTTATCCTGTAAATCAATTGATACGTGATTGGCTGTTGGATAACACGTTATTCTATGCAAATATTCATCTCTCAGCGTGGTATCAATTTAATAGGGCCTCCTCGTTTCCTCAATCATCCAATCTTTATCGATGTCCGAGAATTGAGGAAGGGTATAGAACCGAGGGGCGGATATATCACGGAGTTGGTATGAGATAACAACGTCTTTGATCGTCGTCTCTTCAATCGTTACCTACTCCCTGCTGGTTGACCTCATCATCCTACCCTATTGGGGGTCCTTTGGTGGCACGCATGAGTCCTGATATATGTACATGTACTAATCGGCTTTTGTTTTGTGAAAATTGCCGCGAGGCTTGTGGCGCCTTGTCATGATATTCATTCAATTCACCCTCACGTTCGCTGTCTTGGATTATTTTTTCTTGTATTAACCATTACCTGTCAAGAGTGGGAATACATTTCTGGGACAGTTTAATTGTCGTGATGGAGTGGAGATCTATGTGGAATTGTGGGGGAAAAATTGAACGAGTCTGTTGGATCGAGAAGGATGTGATTTTTTGGGTAGCTGGTGGCAGTCATCTTGTATTTTTTCAATTGAAAAAAAAACTTCAGGCTCTGTGGAGGTGTCCAGGATTTTTTGATGGCGTCTCTTTGATATGCTCGTATCCTCAACTTCATGTGATTGCTTTTGCTGAGAGCTGTGTCAATCCTAGACTTGTCGTTGTGACGTATCCCAGCATGAAGATTGTCTCTGAATGCGTGGGAGGAAGTGAAAATGGATATCTGGTGACTGCTTTGTCGACAGATTATATGATAGCACTGGGCTCATTTCCGGATTATCATTTGGTCATGTGGAACTGGAGGACTGGCTCCAAGTTGTCCTCTGTTGTCACTGGTGTTAATGATCTTCAGGGACAGGTGATTAGGGTGTCTATGGGTAGACCGGGTCTTGTAGCTCAGCTGGCAAAGGACTCGGGAAGACTCCTGATCTGGCAAGTTGTGGGGAATTTCATCTGTTCGTGTGAAGAAGTCACTCTTCCCAAGAGAGCCATTCCAATTGATGTTAATTGGTCATCAGATCAGGCAGATTCTTCTCTGGCCATTGCTGATGAATCCGGACATGTTTATATCTGGAGCAAGAACGGAGAGTTGTGTCGAATTGTTCTTTCCCAGAGATGTGCAACCTGTCTCGATTATGAAGTACCTGTGGTGAGTTGGTTCAGTGATGGAATCCTCCTGAAGACGACGTTCTGTCAGATTAGGTTCTATCGAAAGGGGGAAGACAAGTGGAAGAGACAGTGGTACATCAAGACTTTATTGAAGCCTTACATTTTCTCGGTTGATCCATTCACGAAGAATAGGATGATATTCTTCGAGGATCAAGGGGATCTTGTGGAGATGAGCCTCCTGATGGGAGAGGTCTATCCCAGAGTAAACAAGATCTACAGTTACGGGAGTTGTTTCAAATTTTTGAGTCTGGTCTATCCGTGGGGTCATCATTTGGCAGCTGCGGATGATTCGAAAAATCTTGTGATGATGAGGTCTCACGATGGTGAAGAAACAGGAAGATTGAATTTACCCGTCGAAGGAGACGTTCTGAATATCATATCCCACCTGGAGTACCCTATGATCTTGATTTCAACTTCTGCTGGAGAAATTTGTGCAGTCACCGCTCTTGACTCTCAAAATCCCCGAGTGTTATGCAAATATCAATTTGAAAAAATCCATCTGGATCTTCTGAGGCTATCCTACTGCGGCAGGTGTGTAGTCTACATAATCCACATCGATTTATTCATTTCACCGATAAAATGAATTGGAATATTGGAAATATTCTAGATACACAATCACAGGGAGGAAAAAATACGGATCGTTCTACTGTATAGATTCAATTGAAAAGACATCATCTGCTATTCGTAAAATAGAGACTGACCACAGGGCTTTGGATATAATTCTGTTCGACAAAAATGGAGGACTCATGATTCTGATGCTGATTCTGCCTTTTAAACGAGCTCCAGTCTCAAATTATATAATCATTTATAAATTATTACCTCATGAAGAAAATGTTGGCGATATTGTCAGCATTCTCAAATTGCCGACTGTCTACGAGAATCTTCAGTATGGTCTTGAAGCAATGACCATTATAGCTTCACCATTCTCATCTCGCAATCTCCACGTTTATAACATAAAAAATAATCAACTCTGTCTGATAACAGCTGTACAATCTGCGCATAGGATACGAGGAATTAAAGTTCAGATAAATAGAGATTGGATTGTTACTTATGGATTCGATGGAATAGTCAGTGTTTTGAAGAATTCAAAAACATTGCAGGCGTTGTCGCAGGTTAATTCTCATCACAGGATAATATTTGGGGTGTCTAAAGCTGTTTTGGAACCGAAAGGTCATTTTTTGATCGCGTTAGGCAGTGATGGATCATTATTTGGGCTGAAATCATCGGGAACTGAAAATAATCTAGAATCAACGATTGATTTCGATAAATATTTGGTAAATGCTGATGAGATGAATGAGAATATTTTGAGGGACTATTCAAGCTTGAATCCTGAAGTTATTAATATTCTATCTCAAAGTTATCGAATGATTCCCCCGGAAAAGAGTGGAGCTGAGAATTGGGGTGATTGGGTGATACAACAGCGGATAATGAGAGAGGAAGAGAAGTCTAGGGACATCAGATCGGAAATCATGAGGGAGTTTAATGAATTGAAGACGAAGGTTTCGGAGTTGTTGGGCGAGAACGAAAAATTGCCAACGGAAGAGAGACTTCCGATATCTGCTTTCGATTTGGATATGATAGAGAGGGAGCAGAAGATCAAAGCAGCGAAGGAAGAGAGGGAAGATCGTCGTCTGGAGTTGGAATTCCAATGCGCGCAGATAGAGAGAGTGGCGAATTGGATAAAGGAGACATTCTGGGATGTGCAGGGAGTCAAACAGCAGTCGATATTCGCCATTTTTGGGGAGACCGAGGTGACGAATTTTCCCAGTGAAGGACAGGATCCTCAGGAGATGGAAATTATCCGGTGGCTGGAGACGTGTTCTCAAATTCATGACGATCTCCAAGATTCCGATAGAGAACCGAGGGCTTACGCTGTTTTTAGAGAGAAATACTCTCCGGTTATTGAGGAGACGAAGACATTGGCAAATCTTCTCGAAGATGAGGAGGAAGGAGATAACGGCAATATTGAAGAGATTGAGGCAGCGGCTGGTGTCACAACTTTCAAATTTGTACAACCGTCCAGTGATTACTGTCAGTTCAAGCATTACACTTTTATTGAACTCAGTCGGATGGCCATTGCCTTGATCAATGATGCTCAAGGACTGAAGGATTATTTCAACAAATTATTCAACGAGACGTTTGCACTTAAAGAACGGGCCATGGCTACCGCTGGTCAAATAATCTCTCACATTCGGTTCATAAATTCCGAACTTGGGATTATGTTTAGGAGTTCGGTACCAGAGATACCGGATGAGCCGCAGTGGTCGCCGAAGGAAAGACCCCAGTCGATTATCACAGCGCGAGATGATGAGATCCCTGTGAGACCTTATGTCTCTCCATCGGAGCAGGATTTATTGGACAGACAAGCAGAAGAACAGGAGCGATTGAGACTTCTCATGTTGTCTGACGATTTTCGGAGGAAGGCCCTCATCGAGATGATGGACGGTGTCCTGGAGTACCGTTGGGAGGACATCGTCAAGAGGGACATACCCAAGCCCGACTTCATGGCTACGAAGAGTCCTGATGATTACACGAAGGAGGAGATCGCTCTGATTCATAAATACGAGCAGCAAGTATTGGATCTTGAGCAGGAGCGTGAGAAGTACAAAAGCTTTCTCGAGACTTCGTATTTGAAGATAACGAAGAGTCTTCGGGAGACGATAGATAAGTTTAATGTCAATCTCAAGGGGCTCTTGATTACGAGGATGAGAGTGGAATCGGCGGTGCTGCAGCTCGAGCTGGTGAGGGCCAGGTGGTACTTTCAGGTGTTTGATCGAATGAAGATTGTTGATGAGATGAAGAAAACCGAAGCTGCTATTTCTGAGGAAAATATACGGATAGAGAGTATTCTGTCCTCGAGGAGGATCATGGAGGAGGAGCTTGTCAAACTCAAGTCGCATCGCGAATCACTTTATAGTAAAGATAAAGGAGTTACGAAATTCAAGTCGGAGTTTCAGTCCTTGGGAAAAATTGCTGTTGAGGCTCTCAGGAAGCATTACATCAAGAGACCGAAGGTCGTTCTGAAGAACATGTCACCTGGAGATGTCCTCACCCTCGCGAAATGCATTGCAAGTCACAATAATTCTGTTCCTTTGCTGTCAGATTATAAACATTATCTCGCAAGTCTTGATGCTCTTGATGTACAGCCACAGCACTTGCCTGAGTCAATTCAGGCTCATCACTGGGAGCATCTGGTGAAAATTCGGCGGCATCAGATCGATTTGGAGATGAAACTCAAAGCGAATCTCATGGAGATAAACGAGATTGAGATGACGATTGCGGGGAGTAATGGAAAAATTGGTAGATGCAAGGAATTAATAGCGAATTTTGAAGATGCATTGAGGGAGATGAGGGGGAAACTGGTGGAACGTATCAGAGATATGGATATTCAGTTGGTCTTGAAGATGGGCCAGGTGGAGATGAATGTGAAGGGTAAGAGGAGTGACACCGATAAGGGTAAATTAATACCTGTGGATGTCATTAAAAAATTGAACGGAGGGATCTTGGAGGCGGGTGATGTGAAACTAAAGGCTCTGGAGGAGATGATGAAATTTCACCGAGGGACACTCCTCAAAGAATGGGAGCACAAGACCCTCCAGATGAAGATTCAGGAGCTCTCGGAGGATCTCAATGAGATCAAGAACATCCTGGTGACGAAACATATGCGTCATTTGTTGAAAAATCATCAGATCGGCGGTTTTACTGATGGTAAAACCGTGCAGGATCTTGAGAGGGACATTGCTGCGATGAAAAAAATTATGGAGAAGACGGTGAACGATTGGTTGTCCAAGATTGATAGTGTTAATATGCAGATTGAGACACAGAAGCGGAAGAATGACGAATGCGATGGGAAAATTGTGGTGATGAATGTCGATCGTTGGGAGATGGAGATTATGAGGAATCTTGAGGCTGAGGAGAGGATTAGAAAGATGAGTGAGGGGCTTATGGAGGCTGTGCTGCTGAGGTCAAAGCTTTGTAGAAGAGTTCAGAGTAATTATATCGATCTTTTGCAATTGAAAACTGAGAGTCAGCGGTTGAGGATGAAGAGGTATCCTGCTCTGGACGGTTGCAATGTTGTTCCGATAAATAATCCCGATGAAGAGTGAATTCAACCCAATTCTCGGGAGAGTATTTCACCGGCAATTTCCATATCGCACTATCGTAAAAGGAGGAATGGAATGAAATCGAAAGTGGAAAGATCCACTCCAATCAATGCAAATTGAATTGCCCGGCGGTAGTCAAATCAGATGTGTAAAAAGTATTCATGAAGGCGAAGGATCGAGAGGATATCAATAGGCCATGGAAGCAATCTGGTAATGCAACATGATTAGTCTTCAAGGGGTGAAAATGACGAGTGAAAAAATCATGCATCCAGTACAGCCACAGGATGATGTACACCAAGTAATTACAATTATCGGTATCGGTGTAAACTCGCTTTTTAATCCACCTTGTTTTAATTGACTTGAAAAAAAAAAACACATTAATTTTCACCTCGTGAAATGATTGTTTTGCTCGGGGCTTTCTTCAGAGGAGTGATTTTGTGTGATAAAATGGCACGTGTAAGATTATGCGAAGTACTATTCGTATCAGGGTTGTACCGAAGTTTCTTGTCGTGTCTGAGGTACTCGATCGAGTACTGAAACTTGGGGAATCACGCGATTTTCCACTCGCAACAGTCTGACACGTGTGTGATAGGAGGAATCGTTTCGCTGTTATTTTAAATTCAGTGGCAACATTTTCATCGACGTGGCGATTTCAATCGGCGAAGAAAATAAAAAAAAATACTTTGTATTTACTATTGAATATGGTGGAAATGGCTGGCTCTCTCGATACTTGAAATTTTTTTGTCGATTAACTCTGGGGTTAACGGGTTTTTATTTTCTCACGTTATTTTTGGCATTTGATAGGGCAAAGAGTTGTGTCGGGCACAGGTACATGAGTGTGTGCAACAAAGAAGGGGTGGATTTTTACGGCTCTTGCAGAGCGACAAGAGAGTACAATTATTATTATCATTATTATATTCCTGTTGGATGTCTGGTGTTTCTGGACTTGTTGGCGTCCCGCGGGCATCTGAGACCGGCCCTTCGCGATTTTTTTTTTATCTCTCTCACTCGTATTTTCCATCTGTATTATACCGTCCTCGCACGTCCTCACTTACACTCGCCGTCATAACCCGAACGAATACAAAACTCCCTCGTCCCTACACTGGGATCACCAACGTAAGTTGATGCTGGGACTGACTTTCAAACCATAAAGAGACAAAGGAGCATTCTCGCGGAGCCCTTGTGGAAGGCTGTAAACTCTCATTTTCGGAAAATAAAAAAATTACTGGCCCAACCGTCCGCCGGCAATTTTATGATCACTTGAGTGCTTCTTCGGTTTAAAAAAAAAAACAGAAAAAAAAAGGAAGAAACAAGAGCACGCGGTGGTGGGAAGGGGGTGGTAGGGTGGTGGGGCGGTAGGGTGGTGGGATGGAGGAATTTTCGTACTCTGACGCAACAAAATATCAAAACTAATGCCAAGAAAATAGTGGGGGATAGAGTACAGTGGAAATATAGAGTTGACCGTTGAAAATCATGACACTTATCCCTTGGTAAGCCGGACAGTAGGGGAAGCATTACCATATGCCCGTGTGTGTTTGTGTGTCTGTGTGTTGGATTGGTGAGAGAAATTCTCGAGAGCATTACGTATGCACGTGGGCTTCCAAGAGTCAATATATGTCGAGTATGTACTTGATTTTGAAACAACGGGAATAGGGGGATGGATGAAAACAGTCCACCCTCGTCGGTTTTCGCAAGATTTCACTGAATGCGAAACGATGCTTTTGGCCACGGCTAACTCTTATGCATTGGTTGGCGATGCGAGTTACGTTATAGAGGCACGTATTACGCATTTTGGGATTTAATGCCCCGTGAAAATCACGTTCGATTTACCGATTGTATTTCAGCTGAATTTCCACTGGTGGTGGAGGGCAGTTACATATTTCAGATAATAAATTCGTGGGGAAGGTAAAAATAATAATGAATTAATAGTGAGGGGATTATGTCGTCAAGTTAGATGTATTGAGTCTATCGGGCCCATTTAACGAATTATCAATGGGTTTATTTAGGATAGCTCATCTTATTTTAATTTAATGACAGGCTAGTCTGAGTGGGACCCTAGAGCTGACCCAAGCGAATATAATGAAGTGTCAAGTCGGCTGGTGGTGGGCGCGTCCTCTTTTTCGTAACCTCGTCATCACTCGGGCAAAAGGTTAGACGTGTGCATTTAACACACACAATCGTGATATTTCACCCTCATAATGTATTTGTATCGGTCAGTGAATTTTTTAATTAGCCCCCGGGTGGAGGTGCGTCGGTTGGGTACCTCTCGAGGTGGATTTCACTATTATTATCGTCATTGGATGACTCGGTTTCATTCTCTGGATTATGTTAATCAGTCTGTGATTGACTAGACGTGTCTCGTCATGAATATATTATTATTGAAATTTTTGTCAATGAGGAATGAAGATTAATTGAATCTTGAATTAGGTAAATGACAAATGGTGTAGGTCGTGGGGATGGGGACGTGTATTTACGGCTGAGAGCAGTAAAGATTTTCTTTTGGAATGAAAATCTCAGTGGCCATTAATTCAGATTCATCCGACAAGTTCCACTCGGGTTTGAACAGCGCACCGAGTATTATAGATATTACATGCCCGTATAACTTGTTATTTTGTTTATTTCTCATCTCTCTTGTTTTCATCAAGATGAATGAGAGGGGAGAGCGCTTTGAAATAAAAATATTCTGCACATCGGGGTGTTAAGATTGGGGGGGGGGGGGGGGGGGGGGGGGGGGATGAGGGGGAAATAGGTGAGGGATCTAACTTATTGCCCGTATCGAATAATTATTATTGTTGTTTACTTTGAGGGAGTTGAGAGAGCGGGTCGGATATTTCGTCTTGAACCCTGGCGGCTCTGCTCTCTTGGCAATTTATTTCAAAATTTATTACCGATGACCGATTGCCAACAGTTGGAAGCAGCGGTGAAGAAAAAAAAAATATTAATGCAAATAAAACAAGTAGAGACGCCAATGTTGGTATCGAATAGAGATCTCGGGTGGTAACCGAGACGCAAGTTGTGGTTTTGCACGTGGGTATGAGTATAATTCACTGATTACAACGGTGGTGGAAAAAAAAAATAGCATTTCACTCAATTTTTCGGATTTTTAATGCCGGTGTGACAGATTCTATTGAATGATGAAATTGGATGGGGTATTTTGAGAAAAAAAAAAAATTCTCAACATTTGGGTTCTCACGTTTGCGTGCAATGTTGGGCCCATCTCACGCGCGGAGGAAAATAATCGAAGGACGGGTTGCAAATAAGAATTAAAAGGTTGCGCTTGTGTAGAATGGGGTTGGGAAGAGAAGCGAAACTACCTTAAACACAGGTCACGCAGAGGCCGTGCGTCCATACGGTGTTTTTGCACGATATACTATATATTTGCGAGTGAGTGGGGCCCCTCTCGTTTCTTTCGTTCACAGACCGTGCAAAAGTCATCGTTAGAAGATTCCACGGTGGAAGTATCTTGCCATCCACTTCTTTTCATTTTTCTTCTCCTCCTATTCTTTTTAATTCTTTTTTTTTCCGTATACTCTGACTCCTCCTACTGCATCGTCTTATTCTCTTCTTATTATCCTCTATTTTTTATTTGCCACGGGATCTACTGCGCACTCTGCCCGCCAAATTTGGGATTTTCCGGTCTTATGAGTTTTCAGATATTTCCCGATAGAGTCATGATGTCTCAAAAAGATAAAAATATCATCTCGTCAACTCCGATCGATTAAATGTCACAGCTATTACATTTCAACTAATGCATTATAGTTCTTGTAATTATGTTGTCAATTATTTTTAAATATTTCCACGAGTGCAAGAGTCATCGCGTGCTTTCCAAGGTAATCATATTTGTCATTATCAGGTGGCATGCAATGGGGCTTAAATTATTTATCATGTGTGCTATATACTAGTAGTGTCTATATCACTGTTAAACAAAATTCCTCAATATTATGGCGAATATTGAGTTATTCTCATCTCTCTGGAATTTTTAGCCAGACATATTTCCGCTGTGGAATTTTTATTAATTTCACGTAAACTTGTTGAATATTTCGGGGTAAAATTTCAACAATGAAAATCTTCATGTGCATTCGAGTAATGTTGAATTGTGAAACAATATAACAGTGCAGGAATTGATTCACCTGCAGCGCGACGACCTTCAGGGCCCCGTTCTCCCGACTCTGCACTTATTTTCCTGCTCGTTGTTTTTTTTCTCTCTATCTCTCTCTCTCTCTCTCTTATTTTTACTCTCCCCCCTTTTCAATTCCTCTTTTTTTATTTACCCTTTTATGTGGCATCTCTGTTTTAACCTTCGTCGCCGAGTGTCTGCACGCTCGTGCGGAGTTTTCTCCAGGGCAGGGGCATAGCCATTACGTAGTAGTAAATATCGTAACGACCCGGTCGTCGCTTCAACTCTTGCAGGAGCGAGCCGCCGCGATTTTTACTCCCCCCTCGCCTCCCCCTTCCCCCCCTTTTCACCCC